AATTATAAACTTGCATATTTTTATTTGACCTGGAGGAGTCCATGGAGAATATCACACTACTGTTTAGGTCTCAGCCCTGGTATCAGCCCAAGCAAATGCTTACGTTGGCCAAATCTTTTCAAAATATGATGTGTTTATGTACTTGGTAAACAAGAAACCGACACGGTAGCTCAGTCGATAGAGTGCTTGCTCCATAATCGGAAGGTCTTGGGTTCGAATCGCCACGACTGACCCAAGTAGATTAAAAATAGGTAGCAACTGTTCTTTTGTCAAGTGCTCAGCACTTTGAAGTGAAAATTGCAGGTTATTTGGATGAGACCATTAAAACTGAGATCCCGTGTCATGATAGGCGTTGGCATAATAAAGAACTCACTGCTCAATGGCCCTGAGTGCCGAGTAAAGGTTTCAATTTGAAGCCCTTCACCGTTCTATGTGAGTGAAAATTTCTTGAACAAGACGTAAAACAACATACAATCAATCAATCAATAGTAAACAAGAGTTACCTCTCTTGCATCACAAGTACCATCATTTGATGCAATTTTTTAAAAAACACTTTTTTCAATAACTAAGCATAAATAAATAATTTTTGAAAATTCAGATCTTATTGTAGTTTACATTATACATTTCTTTAACACAATTATTACTCCAAACCACACAAATTAAGCAGAAATAATATTGGTCTATGAAATTTGAGGGGAAACAGCCCGGGCCTTAACAACAGGCCAAGACAGAGATTGTCCAGCTCCTTTGCTTTCTTTCTGGTTGAATAATTTGTTAGAAAATGTTATGAACCAGAGCCTTAGACTTGTTTTCTTTTCATTGTTTTGTTTTAGCATGTCCTTGGTTTGGACAGTTTGGAGCTCAGCACTTAGGTGATGTTAAGTTTTATGTATGACTGTGGTCGACCTTGACATCATTTGCCATTGTAATCAGATTTCTATACCATGATCTCCACAATTCTGAATGAAGTTCTATTAGATTTGCACAAAATAAAGTCAAAATTCAATTGAAAACTTGCATACCTGAAAAATATTTCCCACTCGCTAGCATACGGTTAGTATAGTACTGTAGTTCCTGATTTTCATTATCTGATTTTGTGACCATGTTGGGTACCCCTACCATTGACATGTTGTAACACTTGTAAGGAAAAACATTTCGGAAATATTTCTTGCTTTTATTTATTGTTATATGGTGTTTGTTAAAGGTATATATATGCCAATTTTCAACAAAAGACATTAATTTAATTAGAAAGGAGAATATCTGCACATCCTTCATACAATATAGATATATTGAAATTAATAAAAATTATATATATATATATATATATATATATATATATATATATATATATATATATATATATATATATATATACACATATGTACGATAATCATGAGAGTAAAATGAAAAAAAAATGTTTACAGTGATAATGATCTTAGTATAGCATCTGTTTGACAGTTTGGAAAAACACGTAAGTTAATATGTACTAGGGAGCATTCTCTGTCTAATAAAAAGTATTTTTAATCGAAAAACTAATGGTGTACTGGCCATGAACTTGGTTTTCAGTTTATCTTAGCCGAATCTCTTTCAAATTAAGCCTACTTACTAGTTAAAGCTTCTAATTAAGCTCATTAAATTTCTCCAATGGTAGTTACAATGTTGTATTTAAGAGTTAATTTTGAATATTTTTGGACTGCATATCTAGATTATACCGGTAGAATATTTCTGAACTATCAAAAAAAGAATTACATTAATGTTGATGATGCTGTTAGATTTTCATCTAAGCTGACAACTTTAAATAATGTGGCATGAAAAAAAAATCATCTGTCCTTCCTTTTTTAGCTCACCTGAGCTGAAAGCTCAAGTGAGCTTTTCTGATCACATTTTGTCTGTAATCCGTCTGTCCGTCTGTCTGTAAACTTTTCACATTTTCGACTTCTTCTCCAGAACCACTGGGCCAATTTCAACCAAACTTGCCACAAAGCATCCTTGGGTGAAGGGAATTCAAGTTTGTTCAAATGAAGGGCCACACCCTCTTTCAAGGGGAGATAATAAAGAATAAGTGAAAAATTAATAACATCTTTTAAAAATCTTCTTCTCAAGAACCACAGGGCCAGGAAAGATGAAACTCATGTGGAAGCATCCTCAGGTAGTGTAGATTCAAATTTGTTCAAATCATGACCCCCGGGGGTAGGGCGGAGCCACAATGGAGGATCAAAGTTTTACATATAAATATATAAGAAAAACCTTTAAAAATCTTCTTCTCAAGAACAGAAAAGCCATTATGAGTCATATTTATATGGAAGCATCCTCAGATAGTGTAGATTCAAATTGTTCAAATCATGACCCCTTGGGGTAGGGCAGGGCCACAATGGAGGATCAAAGTTTTACATAGAAATATATAGGAAAAAACCTTTAAAAATCTTCTTCTCAAGAACAGCAGAGCCATGATGAGTCATATTTATATGGAAGCATCCTCAGATAATGTAGATTCTATTTTGTTCAAATCGTGACCCCCAGGGGTAGGGCAGGGCCATAATGGAGGATCAAAGTTTTACATAGAAATATATAGGAAAAACCTTTAAAATTCTTCTTCTCAAGAACAGCAAAGCCATGATGAGTCATATTTATATGGAAGCATCCTCAGATAATGTAGATTCTATTTTGTTCAAATCATGACCCCTGGGGGTAGGGCAGGGCCACAATGGAGGATCAAAGTTTTACATAGAAATATATAGGAAAAATCTTTAAAAATCTTCTTCTCAAGAACAGCAAAGCCATGATGAGTCATATTTATATGGAAGCATCCTCCTGATGACCTCCGGGGATAGGGTGGGGCCACAATTGGTGATCGAAAATTTTACTTGGGAACATATAGGAAAATATCTTCTTCTCAAGAACTGAAAATCATGTTTAGATTTGGAATCATCCTCAGATAGTGTAAATTCAATTTTGTTCAAATGATAACCCCTAGGAGGTAGGGTAGGGTGCAATAGGGGATCAAAAGTTTTACATAAGAACATATAGAAAAAATATTTCTTCTCAAGAACAGAAAAGCTATGTTTAGTCATATTGATATGGAAGCATCCTCAGGAAGTGTAGATTCAAGTTTGTTCAAATGATGACCCCTTAGATAGGGAGATGCCACAATGGGGGATCAAATTTTTACAAAAGAATATATGGGAATATTTTTTAAAATCTTCTCAAGTACAACAAAGCCATTTGTGATATTGATATGGAAGCATCATCAGGTAGTTTAAAATTCAAGCCCCCCCCCCCCCCTCCCATAATCTTTTCAATACTCACTCGGAACTGATTTGTGCTTTTGCTTAGCCAATGTGCTCAGGTGATGTGGCCCATGGGCCTCTTGTTTAATTATTTAAATAACATTTACAGTAATTTGATTTTGGACCTGTTTTAAATACTAATTGAAAATGCCCATTTCCCATGTACATGTATGTGCTAGGTCTTTATGTTTCCTAAAATGTGTTTGCTTTCTGAAAATGACTAGCATCATGATGCAGGATATAAATTGAATCATGATATTTCTTGAAAATTATTGTTATCTTAAATTATTGTCAATATATAGACATCTTCTGTTCTGAGAAATGTCCCAAGTAGAACCATACACAGTAACACTTGTATTTATTCCACTTCTATTATATCCACTTCTTGCAAGAACTGGTTTCCTGTTTTTCAGATGAAATCCTACATGTGAAGTGTTGACCTACAAATCAAAACTTGTGAAAGTCATTTCAAATTAGGTTTCAAATCCTAATCAAGGCTCAATCTATAAGACCAATGACTGTGTAGTAATTAATATTTTAAAAAAAAAAAAAAGGAATTCATAAGTTATGCCAATGACACACAGGTCATGCCCTTATTGTGAACTTTCAGAACCAAGACCGCGAGTGTATACTTAAAGCTTGACAACAGACACGAAGTCTATATCAATTTTATGAAAAGGCAAAAATAGGACAATTATTAGCTCATAATTGAATTTAAAAATGGTCACATGGATGCTGACAGGAAAATTCTTCTCGACAAATTATGCTTCAATGTACCAAAAAAAGACAAGAAAGAAAATCATGTACCAGTGGTACTCAAGCACATTTCAATTCATCCTCAAAAAATTTCCTGAATACATGCTAATTTATTTATTGAATCTTTTTTGGGAAAAGCAGTATTACATAATATATATGACAATAGAAATTCATATTTGTTGAAATTGAAATTCTTAGAAAATTTAACAGTACAATTATCTATTAGCTGTTTGAAGTTGATTTAGTATGTAGAGATAAACTCAGTATTTTCATTTGACTATCAACTCTTTTTATTACTGCACATTAATTTATATAGTGCCTTATATAATTATAAAATTACTTGAATTTTAAAAGTAAATCACACACAGTAATGCAACAAAATGAGTAAAAATAAACATGGTTGCATATGACTGATTGACTATTATTGTTTAACGCCGAGTCGGCAATATTTCAGCCATATTTCGGCGATGCAATTGCATATGAGAATGAATACAAAATCTAAAAACAAAAAATGAGAACAACTAAGGTTTTAAAATGAATCTTGCACAGTTTTAAATAACTACCGGTAAATATAAGACAACCTACAATTTGCAATAAACAAACACAAAAATTATGTGTACCGTAATTTTTAAAAGAATAATGCAAAAACAACCTCACCCCTCCCTCAAACTTTGTAAGGTATACATACATGTACATATTGAACTGTTAGGCATGCATTAATTTGCATTTGAAGCATAATTATATATACCTTCAAGAATCGACAATTACATACATGTATTAAAGATATACATGTATCACAGAAAATACATATAACTGGATGTTTATTAAATGCCAACAATCAGTTAAGAGCTAGAGCTTAATTGTGTAATGTCCAAAAAAAAAAAATCATTAAAGATATTGTGTCAGTGATACATATGTAATAATATTTTCTATTCAATAATTCTCTTTCATTCATAGACCACCATGGAGGAAATGAGGAGAAAAAACAATTTAGTCAAAAGAAGCTTTTTATAAGTGATTTAAATGGTAAGCCAAGTATTGGTAAGGGGAGTATTTTGAACTATTATACTTTCATGTAAATATTTTTTTTAAAAGTGGGTCAAACTCTAAGGTCAAGGTCAAAAGGTCAAAAATATTTACACCCATGGAAAGGTCTTGTCAAAATGAATACACTTGTGAAATATGAAAGCCCTAGCACCAATTATTCAAAAGTTTTGACCAAAGTTAAAGTTGGGTAATTTTTTGCAAAAGTAGGTCAAACTCCAAGGTCAAGGTCAAGAGGTCAAATATGTTGGTACCCAAAGGAAGGTCTCACAAGGAATACACATGTGAAATGTGAAAGCAATAGCTCCAACCATGCAATCAAAAGTTATGAGCAAGCCCTTGTTAAAGTTTTTGCAGACAGACAGACAGGATGACAGGGCAAAAACTATATACCCCCCAATCTTTGATACAGGGGCATAAAAAATAGAACCTCATACTTAGTACAAAAGAATAGATTATGACCAGAGTGTTTAATTTCTTTATTTTGCATGGTCTAGGTCATTTGAATATTCAGTAAGTTCTGAAATCTGCTGACCTATTATGATTTGTTCTTGTCTGTTGTCATGTGGATGCATGTGAATTTTTTCCATTTTCAGCTTCTTCACAAGAACCACTGAAACAATTTCAATCAAACATGCCACTAAGATAAATCCTCTATTGAAAGGGATTCATGCAATCTTATTTAAATGAAGGGCAGAACCCTCTTTTAAGGGGATGTAATTAGGAAAATTAAGCAAAAAATTAGGCTGGAGTTTTAAAAAGTTTCTTCTCAAGAACACTTAGCCAGAATATTTGAAACTTTTATGAAAGTTTATCTTGACATAGTGAAGATTTAATTAAGTTTGTTCAAAGCATGGCCCCCAGAGGTAGGGTGAAGCCACAGAAGGGGATCAGAGTTTACATGAAAATGTATAGAAAGAAATCTTTTAAAAGAAATATTTTAAAATTTTCTTTTCAAGAGCAGCAACACACTGATTAGTCATATTTGGAAATATGCAAACATTCTAATTTAGAGAAGATTCAAGTTTTTTCAAGTTATGGTCCACAGGGATGAAATGGGGCCACAATAAGGGATTTAACTTTTGCATGAATATATATTCATGTGAGAAAAATGTTTAAAAATCTTCTCAAGAACATTTTATAGTCACATTTATATGCAAACGTTTAAAAATTCATGAAGTATTTTCTCAAGAACAGCAGGATCATAGGTCATATATTAATATACAAGCATTGTTACAACACGAAATAAAATAACAACGCAAAATGGAATTATTTGGGATCAATATATTTTCGTTATGCAATTTTTGCATGAAAATCAACACAGAATGTAATAAAGCAAAATGTAATAACAGACTTTTTAGCTCACCTGAGCTGAAAGCTCAAGTGAGCTTTTCTGATCACCTGTTGTCCGTCATCTGTCTAGCTGTCCGTCCGTCTGTAAACTTTTCACATTTTCAACTTCTTCTCAAGAACCACAAGGCCAATTTTAACCAAACTTGGTACAAAGTATCCTTGGGTGAAGGGGAGTGTAAATTGTTAAAATAAAGGGCCAAGTCCCCTTAAAAGGGGAGATAATCAAGAAAAGACAAAAATAGGGTGGGGTCACTAAAAAATCTTCTTCTCAAGAACCACTGGGCCAGAAAAGCTGAAACTTATATGGAAGCATCCTGGGGTAGTGTAGATTATAAATTGTTCAAATCATGACCCCCGGAGGTAGGGCGGGACACAATAGGGAATCCAAGTTTTACATTGAAATATATAAGAAAAGTCTTTAAAAATCTTCTTTTTCAAGAACCACTGGACCAATAAAGCTGAAACTTATTTGGAAGCATCCTGAGGTAGTGTAGATTCTAAATTGTTCAAATCATGACCCCTGGGGGTAGGGCGGGGCCACAATAGGTATATTAAAGGGGGGGAAATCTGGAAAAGAACAGCATGGCCAAAGTTACTCAGGTGAGCGATGTGGCCCATGGGCCTCTTGTTAGGATAATTACATTTTGCGTTATTACATTTTGCATCAAGATTAACACAGAATGAAATAATATACTTTTTGATTATTACATTTAAAAATTTTTTGCATTGAGGGCAACACAAAATGTAATAAAATAAAAATGAAACAACACAAAACATAATAAGTTTTTTGTATTGTATTCAACACAAAACATCATAAAATTGATTTGTACATATCTTTAATATTATGAAATATGAATAGGTATTGTGCTGAAGTGGATGAGTTGGTTAGGAGTATGAAATGTTTTCAAGGTCCTTTATATAATTTTCCTTTGATTATGCATAAATAAAGCTTTATCTCATAGAATATTGAGTTTTGGTTTCTTGGTATTTTTTTGCATTGCATGCTCCTATCATAAAAGTTGTATATTCACTGAATACTAGTGGTACTGAATGCAAAGATGATATTGAATTGGTGGAATTTAATCAATGATACAATTGGCGAATTAAATACTAGTTACTCAAATATACTTAAACACAAGAAATGGCATGTCCTTTTGTATTTAAAAAAAAAAAAAATAATTGTCATGTCTGAAAGCCATGAAATCGGCACATTATTCTGGATCCCTTGAAATGGAACTTGCATTATTTCGTAGATCAGGTAACAGCTAATAATAAAGAAATATATAATCATTGGTGTGAAAATTCTTCTCAACCTAACTGACCAAAAAGTGTGTTTTTGCAATGTTGCATTTTGCTTAATATTGACACAAAATATAATAAAAAAATATAAAAATTAAAAAAAAATATCTTATTACATTTTGCATTATTAGATTTTGCATTGACATCAACGCAAAACATAATAATGCAAAATGTAATATTCCCAAAAGTTTCTCATTACATTTTGCATTATTACATTATGTGTTGATTTAGATGCAAAATGTAATAATGCAAAATATAATAATCCCCGTTTACTACATTTTGCGTTGTTATTACATTTCGCTTTGTAACAAAGCATCCTATTAAGAAATTTCATGCAATCCTCGAAATTTGACCCCACAAAAATAAGTGATTTTACAGTATATAGATTCATTTAGATTTGGGAATTAAACCATATGATAGCTAGAATACAATTTTATAATAACAAGAAATTTAATTTCCTTTCAATCTGAAAACATTTCAGGTTTTTGTGACTAATCCCAATTAGTCATTTTTTTTTGTCTTATATTCAGTGTTTGACCCATTTTGATTTTAGTTTTTCAGTGCATTGGTTTGTACAGCTATACATATATAAGTAATTCCATGATTATTTTTTTATTGTCAGTATTCGGAAGTTTTATTTCCTTTCCAGCTAACAGACCAGATCTAGATCATATCTGCATGTGCAGACTTGGAGGAAGTAAAAATTGAAGTAACAATCTTGTTGCACTGGAATAATGATGATGGGACATTTTGTTCATATGATGGGATTTTCTCTGATTCTGAGTCCAAATATGTATTTTACTGCTTTTGGCTTTTTCTTTGATAGTCCTGCTGGGGGTAAGTAAATTAATGGTTTAATAGATTATTTAAATATCTTTTATTTTTGCATGGACATCTAAGTCACTCAGATGACCTTATGCTATGATCCGTTTTTGTCCATCATTGTGAAATCTATTTTAATTCAAAAATAATGTATCAATGTGAAAAAGATGTTTTGAATTTTAGTTTACATCTAATTAACTTTAATTTTTGTTAATTTTGGAAATGTTAGCTTTTTGAAATAGAAGACGTATAGTAAAAACTTGTCTAATCCAGACACCACGTACTGGTTCCAAAGAAATTGGCTGGATTAGACAACATTAACATCCCATATTAGTCAACATTTTAAAACCTGCAGTTGAATTTACTGAAAGAGACTTTAAGTTAACATCATAATAGGCAAGATTTCAGAATATTCAGCATCTGGATTAAACAAGTTTTACTGTATCTACAGAGTATAGGAAAAAAAAAATATAAATTTTTTTTGGATTATATTTTAGCATGCATAAATAGAGTGTATTCAATGTTTTGTAGTTGAATAAAGAACTTATTTCCCAAGTAGAACAGGATGTTTTGATAGTTTTCAATTGTGTAAAACATCTGTTTTGTAAAATATATTCCATATGTACATAAACAACTATAAAACATTAAATTTTCTGTTTATTACATTGCCTTTAATTTTCCTTTTGCCCCTTTCTTTGCTGCCTCGGAAAATAGTTTCCTCCCTCAGGGAACCATAAATTTGCTATTTCCCTCATACCTATTCCATAACTTAGAGTGTATTATAGACCTGGATATTGGTTGAGAATCCCAGGATGGGACTAAAACAAAGTTTGTGACATCAAAATAAAATCATTATGTAACGTCCATTATTTCACCTCCCCATCCATGTTATGGTGTTTGAATGCCAAACTGGTTTCAGTACATTTTATAAGGAAAATGCAGATGGCATGTAAATATTATATCCTTGACAGACCTTAAAAGGAGACTCATGCGTATGATAAATTCCTTAATAAACTGATGCATGCATATATCTATAAACATCAATTCACTAAAAGTTTCTTTTTTTGCTATAGAAATTACTCCAATAAATCCTAGGGTATTGGTGAATCAGAATTTGGAGATGAACTGTACTGTGTTTGAAGATTCAGGTCTGAATGCTTCCTTTCTGGACTGGGTTATTTATAATGGTACAAGCGCATCTCCAGATACAGTATTTATTAATGAAGAAAGAACATTGACATTCCGAAAAAAAATCGCAAGTATTGAGGAAGAAGGGAGTTACTTGTGCAGGAGAACTGACAAGTCTGAACCCAGTATTGTGAAGACAGTTTATTTGACTATTGAGTGTAAGTCAATTATGTTAATGAGAAATTGATAACATGTATTTCAGAAGTGTGGAAAATTTGGTGAAAGAAAGAGGGAAGATATAGGTCAAAAAATGCAGCGCTTCTAAATCTGTATACATGTAGTTGGAAATATTTCCAAAAGCTAAGAATTTTCCAAATTCAATGATATATAATTTATATGTGTGACCCCAAAGGTTACTTAGTAAAATCACATTGAATACTGCACCCTTTAATAGCAGAATGTCAAAATTTTACGGAACAATCAAATGCGACATCATAGAAATTGCACATCCTCCACCGATAATCACATCTACCAGTAATCATTACTTGTCTTCTTTTTTTTCGATGTTAACATACATATTGCAGGTAAATGATTCAGTTGTGGAATGCTGCTCAAATTATTAAGTAGTTTATCTTCTACCTATTCAATGAATAGCAAAAACAAGATGTGTTTGTGAAACACTTAGATGCTCCCATATGGCAACTTATAGTGAAGGTTAAACTGAACGCAAAAGAAACGCAACATCCTATTTTAGGGGGAAATATTATATGTAGGATATCACTATGTATCTAAAAAGTAAGGACATCAACTTTGTAAATATTGGTAATTTAATGGTAGAATGATTTTCATACTATCACTGGAAGTTAAGTTTGAGTCTGCTTAACAAAAATCAAAAATTGCATGTTTAACAAAACATTTGGCAATAATATGGGGTTTTAAAGGTTTGTATCTGTTCATCGTAAGTAATGCAGCAATATTTCGAAAAATAAATTCTCCTTTCTTTTCCGTAAGCAATGCCAAGGCTTCCTGAAAATGACTTAAATACGCCTTTCCATTCCTCTACCTGGAAAATCTCAAAATAAAGGTGATGGAGAGTTACAGATGCAAATATGCACTAAATCACTCCTCAACAGGCTCTTATGTATCATAAGCATAGATGACAGTTCTTGGACAGGAAGACCAAGGGTTACTACACCGTGCTAGGCTAGAGAAAATTCGACCTCATCATTTGATTGATTGATTGTATGTTGTTTTACGTCCCATTCGAGAATTTTTCACTCATATAGAGACGTCACCATATACCGGTGAAGGGCTTCAAATTTTGACCTTTACTCGGCTCTCAGGGCCATTGAGCAGTAAGGGATCTTTATCGTGCCAACGCCTACCATGACACGGGGCCTCAGTTTTTAAGGTCTCATCTGAAGGACCCGCAACTTTCACTTCAAAGTGCCAAGCACCTGGTGAAGGAACAGTTGCTACCCATTCTTTATGTGTCAGTCCCGGCCGAGATTCGAACTCATGACCTCCTGATCACGGAGCAAGCACTCTACCGACTGAGCTACCATGAAAAACAGGCATTTAAAATGGCAAAGAATATTTCTTTCGCTCAGATCTTGAGATTGATGAACTCATTGCATCGTAGAAATCAAGATGCAATTGTTGTGCATGACAGGCTTGCACGCTGTAATTGAATGGCCGGGTTGGGAGGGTGTTTTAACAGTTGTGTGTTACTTTTAAAGTTAAAAGATAACCATTTAACATTTTTATCAAATCTCTGATGTTTTGGAATCGAGTTTGACCTTACTGTATTCATTTTTGAAAATCATTAGATAAAATATTCAAATATTTGTAGATAACTGCTTGTTGCGTTTCTTTTGCGTTTCAGTATATGTTGGTACCCAAAATAAGGTCTTGTCTCAAGGAATATACTTGTGAAATATGAAAGCCCTAGCAGCAATTATTAAAAAGATTAGCTGCAGAACTGTAGCTCTCTGGTTGAGAAAATTTGGAGAGATAAACCAAAGAGCTACAGATCCAAGCATTGTAAAAACCTTCGATTTACACCGCCGATTTTTGTAGCTCACTTCAGGTATTATTTCTTGTATTTTATGCATCCCAACACTATACAAATGTGGTATCCGATAATAAATTATATATATTTACTCCCATTCCTGACACTTTGTTTACCTTTCAACGATTCCAAACAGCCGTAGTCTTGGCAGTATCAGTTTTTAAAAGAAATGCATTCCAAGCTCCATGTTAGTGTACATGTAATTATAAAAATAACATGCCCGATTGGTTTAATTAATTTTTTTTTTTAAGTAAGGTCTTGTCTCAAAGAATATACATGTGAAATATGAAAGCCCTAGCAGCAACCACTGAAAAGATATGGAAAAGGTTAAAGTTTTCAAAAGCGAGTCAAACATCAAGGTCACTGTCAAAATTAATGGTGCTCAAGGAAAGGCCTTCTCAGAAGATATACACATGTGAAATATGAAAGCTCAAGCACCAACCATTCAAAGGTTATGGCCAAGGTTAAGTTTTCCAAAAGTAGGTCAAACTCCAAGGTCAATGCCAAAGAGTCAATTTTCTTGGTATCCAAAGGAAGGTCTTGTCACTAGGATTACATATGTGAAGTATGAAGGCCCTAGCGCCAACTGTTCAAAAGTTATGGCCAAGGTTAAAGTTAGGTAAAATTTTTCAAAACTGGGTCAAACTCCAAGGTCAAGGTCAAATATGATAGTACCCAAAGAAAGGTCTTGTCTCAAGGAATACACATGTGAAATATGAAAGTCTTAACTCCAACCATTCAAAATTTATGGGTAAGGTTAAAGTTTTTGCGGACAAACAGACAGACAACTAGACAGACTGGGCAAAAACTATTAGCTCTCGAATCTTCAATTATGTGGGCATAAAAATTAGAAATTTTATGTGTACAGACTATTGAGCTTGAAGATAAGATTCCTTAACTATGGCCCCCTATTTTTGGTTGAAAAAGCAGTGTAAAGTATAACTAGTGAAGGTTAGCAATGTAAGATTGCAGATTGGCCTTTCTTTTTTTCCTTTTTAACAACTTTGTCTTCGGACAACATTCCACCCCAAACCCAATCTTGCCTTCACAAACTTACTGCACATATATTTTGAAGTAAATTTGCAAAGTAAATTATTGATTAATTGATTGTATGTTGACAAGTTTGGGACTACTTTTGTATTTAAGACGATTATTGTATGTATTAAGGTCTTGAAACATTTTTTTTATCAGTCAGACGGTGTCTCGGATTTACAAATCATCTTTAGGTTGAAAAATGACATAAAAATGAATAATGTAAGAGAGGAAATGAGAAACCCTGAAACAGTGGTCGTCATTCCTGGCAGATTAGACCACAGGCACTTGTGGAGAGAGACCCCTCCCCCCCCCCTTTCCTGCATATTCAACCCCAAAAGCTTCTTGGACTCTAATTTTTTTTACCCCAAAATTATACTTATTTATCATATACACCATATGAAAAATCAGGAAAAAACCCTCAAAAGAATCATTCACACAAAAATACCCCACTATACTTAATAAGATGTATACTGAGGTATTTTTGTGTGGAACAATTTTTATGCCCCTGTAGCGAAGATTCGGGAGTATATAGTTTTTGCCCTGTCCGTCCGTCTGTCTAGCTGTCTGTCTGTCTGTTTGTCTGCTAAAACTTTAACACTGCCCATAACTCTTGATTAGTTGGAGCTATGGCTTTCATATTTCACATGTGTATTCCTTGTGACAAGACCTTTCTTTCGATACCATGATATTTGACCTTTACCTTGGAGTTTGACCTAGTTTTACAAAATTTTACCCAACATTAACCTTAGCCATAACTTTAGAACAGTTGGATCCAGGGCTTTCATACTTTACCTATGTAATCCTTATGACAAGACCTTCCTTTGGATACCAAGAACTTTGACCTTTTGACCTTGACCTTGGAGTTTGACCTACTTTTGTAAAACTTTAACCTTGGCCGTAACTTTTGAATGGTTGGTGCTTGGGCTTTCATATTTCACATGTGTATATCTTCTGAGAAGGCCTTTCCTTGAGCACCATTAATTTTGACAGTGACCTTGATGTTTGACTCGCTTTTGAAAACTTTAACCTTTTCCATATCTTTTCAGTGGTTGCTGCTAGGGCTTTCATATTTCACATGTATATTCTTTGAGACAAGACCTTACTTTGGGTACCAACATAGATAAAGTTTAATCTTCGCTATAAGTTGCCATATGGGGGTATCAGTGTTTCACAAACACATCTTATTTACAAAGAAACAATGTACATTTTGTTATGAGAATTTCAATTATACCCAGATTTTCTGATCTTGACCTTTCTTACTAACTTGCACTTTTCTTATTTTTGCAAATGAACTGTAGTACACAGTGTAAATGTCCTGCTTTGATGTTTCTTGTTTTGTTTTTTTTCAGATGAAGCTGTGAGGAATGTAACAAACTTTACTTGTATATTGAATGAAGAGAAAAAAGAGTTTCACTGTAGATGGGAACTTGGACTATACAACCACCCTGCTTATCTCAATATCTCAATTATAATGTAAGTCATTCAAATTCTGTTGAATAGCAAAGTGAAGTATTGCTTCTTTATGTTGTTTATTCGTATTATCTTATTATAATTTCAGCTGTTAAGAGTTTATTATAATAATAATGTAGTTGAACTTCGGTATCTTGAACACCGATATCTCAAATGCAATGTATATGTCAAAGGGATTTATAATTCCCAACCACTTATTCTTTAAGTATTTTACCCTATATAGCTCAAATCGCCGGATTTCTCAAAGTTCTTTCTTGGTCCCATTGAGTTCGAGATAACAAGGTTTGACGGTATATAAAAGATACTGTAGTGATTATTATCAGAAAATGGCCTTTAAGCCATTTTTCGTAGCATAATAGTGTAGACTGTGACATCATAGGTAAGAGGTTGTTAGATTGAAAATTTGTAAACATGGTCATGGATTTTATCAACAATTCAGAGAAAGTCTAGCTGTTTTTATCAGTGTCGGAATTGTTTATTCATTCTCACTGTACATGTATATTGGGTGTATCTTCTTTAACAATTTTTATGCAAGGAAGGAAAATAATTCTTGCTGTGAACTTAATTATAAACACTTGAAAAATACACTTTTTATGCCCCACCATGAATATGGCTGGGGCATTTAGTGTTTGTCATCTCATCTTTTGTCCTTCCACCCTTTTGTCTTTAAATCTTTCTGTCACACTTTGTGTTTAGCTGAATTTCAAAGAACTGTTTAAGATATTTAAACCCTAGGAAACTAAGTTTCAGGGTACATGGGAATCACCTTGTACATCTGCCTAGCTGTCCGTCATTTCTGGGCCATAACTTTGTAATGGAGAAAGATTGGAAGTTCCCATACTTTACACAAGAATTGCTTACATGTATAACCTGAGGTTTGTCTTAATCTTGATTCAAGGTCATTCAAACAAGTTCAAGGTCACTGGTTGGAAAAGTGTAAAATTTGTGTCAGGTCTATAACTTTGTAATGGAGAAACATTGGAAATTTATACCTAATACAAAGATTGCTAATGACCTGAAGGTGTGTCCTGGCCTTGATCCAAGGTTATTTACTCAAGTTCAAGGTCACTTAGAAAAATTCCTGTCATGAACATATTTTGCAATGGTGTAACATTGGAAGCTAATAACACCAAAAATGTATGACTTGTTGGTGTGTCATGACCTTGACCCAATTTCATGGTCATTGACAGAAAAGCGTATTATACATGTCAGATCCACAACTCTCTAATAGAACATTGGAGTTTGACTGTTTGATACTTAACACAAGATTGCCAATAACCCAAGAGTGTGTCTAAATTTTTTGGCAATTTCAAGGTCAGTGGCAGAAAATGTGTAAAGTTTATGTCCACTTCAAACCTAATGGAACAACATTAGAGGTTCCTATTTTACATGAATAATATTACTTATTTTAATTTTGTAGTTTAGGCTACATTGACTGTGAATATAGGCTTTGGTAGCTTAGTGATTAGAGCACCTAACTAGTGATACAGGGTCCCAGGTTTGATTCCTGATCCAGTCATATGTTTTCTTCATTCATCCTCTCCTACTACACTTATGTCACAAATATTTGTCATGACCTTGACCCAAGGTCATTGGTGAGTTCAAAGGAGACTTGCAGAGAAAATATAGAATTTGTATCCAGTTCATAATATTGTAATGGATAAATATTGGAAATTGATACTTCAGCAAAGATTATGGACAAGTTGAGGATATTCATAACCATGACCAAAGTTATTTGGCAAGTTCAATGTCAGTGGCAGAAAAAGTATAAAATCCATGTCAGGTCCACAAATTTCTAGTGGAGAAACATTGGAAGTTCATAATATACACAAATGTTACTAATCTTACTAGAGGATGTGTCATTTTAACTTGTTGATTTCATTTAGGTCTCCTGACAATGGTTCAAGTGTTCTACCTTGTCCAGAGAAATTTACCGGTAAATACCAGCAGAACTGTTCATGGGCAGAAAAAGATGGTTTTACTAATGCTGCCATCTTCTCGATGTCCAAGATTGTCATCCTTAATGTAACAAACATGGAATTTAATGTAGTGAAATCTTTCCGGATGGAATATATAACAGAGGATATAAGTAAGTTTTAATCTGGTTTTGAACATTGACTCTTAGCATACTTGATTCTGATAAATCGGATGTGCCCAGCTAAACTGATGATGACCAGTGGCACACTTGATTGTGAGCAAGTATTGCATTTGCATCCTCAGGGTTCTCTACAAGGGGTTTTACCTTGACAGCCAGCCATGGTTAAATATATGTGCACCATGGTTAAACAAGCTGTGCCATGGTCAAAATCAGTGGCCTCCATGATTAAATTTCTATTGCATTTCAGTATTGACACCTACTTTTGACTTGTCTAATGAGTAGATAATTGTGTTTATTCTACAACTGGCATGCACCTCTCTTGTGAGAGAAAGTGGATTGTGCTAAACAAACAAGTCCGTTGTTGATCAGCGATTTTACCATGAAGCATGATGATTGAGAGTCAATCAGATGGTGATCAATATCATGAGAGTTAATTTTTCTGTACACATGTAATTAGAGAGGGATTCCAACATGTTCACTATATAATAAATGATTTACAAAAAATAAGAATAGCACAGTTAAACATAACGATGTCAAAAATTGACAAGCATCCAAGTCAAGTTTCTGCAGCCAGGAAGAATTCAACCCTTTCAAAATTTTTCTATTCTGGCCTTGTATTTAATCAATTCCTGTAGGTCTGTTTTTAAATATTATTTTTATATCTTTCTGGTAAAATGTACATGAACGTTTACCAAGTCTAAGTTTTAGAGTTACATGGACCTCCCATTCCTATGAAACATCGCGTGGCGCTATTTTTAGACTGGGTCACGTGGAGAAATAACAGTGGAGGGAAATTGGCAAAAAATGCAGTGTAGAGGGGGAAAAACAGAACGGAGAAAGCAAAATTAAAGTTGTATCAAATTTATGCCCCTGTTTATATGAATTTTTGATACTTATACTATATATACCATCAGTAAGTTTTCAAAGACCATATGCAGTTATAAAAGCTTAGGTCAATGTTTGTTTGTCTGTATGTCGGTAAATTTTTTTTTTTCAAAATACGGCTCCTTCATCAGTTTTGGTTTTATTTGAATAAAATTTGTCATACAATAGACAACATCAATTCTGTAACTATATCAGTTTTTGAATGAAATTTGACGTGCATTGTTCCATGGTTACTTATTTGAAATAAAAAAAAATTATGAAATTCTTTTATAATGCCCCTACAGTTTTGGTTCAACTTTAATAAAACTTAGTATATTTATAAAATAAGTTATTTTTGTTTGTTTTGTTGTTTATTTTTCTGACCTTTTTCTTTTTTTTTGTTTGTTAATACAACTTTTTAGTTGCAATGATTATGTTTTGTGAAATCAAACATTGATTAATGAAGCTTAGAAAGTCTAACACACCCTAGTGCTTTCGATCACATTTCAGCAGATTCCTCCATGGTTAAATTTTCAAATGTGGAGAACCCTGATCATGTTGGGTGAGCTGATTGAACTTCAAAAATTTAATTGGCTCAGGCAGCTTCAACATGGCATTCTTGAAGTTAGTGGTATCGAAAGTGGATTATTGAAAGACATGAAGCTTTTGATCTTGGTATGCTGGTTTAGTGAGCATGATTGTAAAATGAAATATATTGAGATAATGAACAGTATTCAGGCTTAAAAGTCCATCAAACAATACAAAATAGGAGCAGAGCAAACATGGACCTCCAAACATCAGAGGTGGGATCAGGTGCCATGGAGGAGTGAACATCCCCTGCCCACTGGTCACAACCGCTGTGTGCTCCTTGTCATGATCGGGAAATAATGGAAAAATCCGTCGACAATTCAGTGTGTAAATAATGGCCTAACAATTAGTATCAAAAACATCAGTCAGCATTTGACTCAATGATAAATTGTATTTGCTGACAAGGTCATTGTATCGACCATAGAACTTACGAAATGATGACTTTAAATGAGACAGCTGATATTCTTGTTTCATCAACTTGTTTGTCAATAATTTACCTCATTTTAGAAATTGTACATACATAGAGCATGCTCTTGCGTATCGAATCAACTGAGAGATATATACCCCGTATGCGGGTGATGAAGGTATATTACTGCATAAGTAAGGGAAGTTGACGATTGAAAAGTTAAAGTCATCACGTTTTTCATAAAGCTTGGTTGCTAGATTACCATTAACGTCTTTTTCAAGTAAAATATCCAAATATGAAACAGATGTGTCAGACTTTGTGGTATCTTTTATCTCAAGCTCACCAGGATATATCGTATCGTCATAAGAATGGAAATAGTCATTGTTAATTGGCAATACGTCATCGATATATCTAAATGTCGAGTTGAAGGCCACAGCAAGTGTTTTCTTCTTTTCACGTACAAGATTTTGGACAAATTCTGCTTCATATGAATACAAAAAAGGTCTGCTAACAACAGGGCGCAGTTGGTACCCATGGGAATTCCAATAGATTGTTGGAAGACCTGGTCTCCAAAAACCACATAGATATTGTCAATCAGAAACTCAAGCATCTTTTTAATGTCAACTTCAGAGTACTTGTGTGTACAATCAGAATGTTTTTTATAAAAATGTTTTTGCAAATGACCAGTGACAAGGTAAGTAAATTTACGAGTTCCATTTTTATTGAAAAAGCAGCTGTCAATGATATCAGAAAGCCTGGACTTTAATTTATCATGGGGAATGGTTGTGTATAAAGTTGAAAAGTCGTAAGTTTTTAAGCTGTTGACTTTGGTAAAATCTTGTGATTTCAAATTTTCCAAAAGTTCCTTGCAATTTTTAAGTATCCATATCTGATTTACACCACTTCTCAAACATATTGTTGCACAGTACTCTTGAAGTTTCTCCTTCACTACAGTACTGTTAATATCTTAGTGAAGAGTAAAGAAAGAGGTTTGGTTGAACATTTACTGGAACCCGCTATGTATTGAGAGGATTTTTATGAAGTTTCAGAATCCAATATAAATATGGTAATTCAAATTCATTTTGGTTGTTTTGAATAATAAAAATATTCAAAACTGACATATGATTTTGAAGAATTTCTTCCTTAGAAAGGGAACTATGAGTATAAATTGGATTACCACTTGTAGAATTAAATCCAAGTTCCTCTAAAATACATTTAATATAATGAGCCTTACAGACAAAGACAATGTTGTTACCTGCTTTGTCAGCAGGGACCAGTACGTACTGATCATGTAATCTATCTAATTCTTTTTTCACTTCTGGATTATTGTCTTTTTCTATGCTAGATATTGCTTTATGATAGAAATACAATTACTGTACATTAGTCATTCTAAAAATGTAGCAAAACACATTTTTATCAGAATTAAGTATGCTATCTGATACCATTCTGATCTGGTTCAAATTCAAAACTGTACGCCTTGGAGTAAGCTGTCAAATTCTAAGGTTAATTAGCAAAAATTTGAGTATGTATATATACTTCTTGAAGTATGTACTCCAAATTTTAGAGCATATACTCAAACTTATTTTCATTGCGCAAGTGACCTTTAAAAACTCTTCTGCAATGACGACACCCATATATTTACATTTGTAATAGTTTGCAGCAGTATTCCAATGGTTAAAATGGTAAGTTAATACACTTTTTAACACTTATTTATATTTTTCTTAAGAATTCTTAGGAAATTACTTATGATTTCTGCAAAAAGTAAAGAGTTGTATTGGTTTACTATCTCTGCTTGAGATAATTTGCACTATGAACTATTGTCTGAACATAGTGTATAGCAGATTATATTTTGCTTAAAAATGATAAAACTAGCAGAGAATGACAATGATAAGCTCCTTTCCTCTTAAAAGATTTTTGAAAAGAAAGACAGGAAAAAAATGGTCTTCAGATGGGGAGACAATGCTCATATCCGCTGTTCTAGTTAGAGAGGATGTCCTGTTTTGAGATTTTAAGGGTTCTGGGGGGAAATTGGGACAGGTTAAATGGAGGAAGGGTTGGGAGGAAGTAGCAGTTGTTTTGAATGTTTAAGGAAATTATTTTCATGTGGAACAAGTGTTAAATTTAAAAATTAATTTGTTAAGAATGCAGAAGTGTTTTGTATCTATAAATTAATATTGTGTTAGAGTTCGGCAGAATTAAACAGATTAAGATTATTTATTTTTAATTGTAGGAGAAAATAAACCTGCACCAAAGAAAAACCCTTTTCAAATAAATCTTGTACTTCAAATACACTATTTATGTGTTGCATATAACAATCTAACCACAGACCATGAGAGATTCTTTTTATCATATGTTTTACACGTATAGCTATTTCATGTTTTACACATACCGATTAGTATATGTAAATCCACAATATTTGACTTGATCAAATTCATACAGAAACCCTTGTGACTTCACAGCCATGGATACATAATTATATGAAAACAGTATTCTATGAGCTACAGTCAAACCTCTTTATCTCAAATTCAATGGGACTGAGAAAAAACTGAGATATTCGAGGGTTCAAGATATCCATTAAGGGTAAAATACTTCAGAAATATGTGGTAAGCACTTCCCAATCATTTTGACATGTCCATGATATTTTTAGTGAGACGCAATTTAGCGATTTGTCCTTAAAATTCAGTATTTAATTTTAGTGGGAAATAATTTTAGTGATTTTATGGTGCATAAAAAGATTGCGGTGACCTCTTATGCAGAATAAATTGTTAGCAATATTTTATTTTAGTGATCTCAACATCCTTGCTAAAAATGTCAAAATTGAGTCCTTGCTAAAATTTCTGCTTACACGTTATTAGCATGTAAATAAATTAGGGAACAAGAAACAGCACAAAATGCACTAATATATGATTGCCATTAAAATTATTTATTAACAGTACATAAAACACTTTTTTCAATTTTATTTTGTAGAGAAACCTTTGCCTACAGAATACATTAATGCTTCATCCCTGGGTTCTTGTGGATGTGCCAATGTGTCATGGGAGACAATTCCAGGAGAGGTCAAGACATCTTCTGAAGTCAGCCTGATGTCACAATGGAACAGTACCCCTCTGGTATAAATAACTAAAGAAAAAAAATTGAGTTTTCTTGGATGTTTCTGGATAGCTTCAGAGGTTGAGAATTGTTGATTTGAAATGTAAAAGTCTAAGTATTAGGCCCCCTTCCCATATCATCTCAATATTTCTTTTCTGGAAAGGAATACAGTAAAGTTGATAATTCAGCTTTTTTCTCATATCTATTCAAGCTTCTTTGGGGTAATTAATGACTCTCCTTTGGGGGTAATTACGAGTAATGACTCTCCGGATTGATGGTCAGTTTGTGAAGTGTTAATAACGTTTTTAAGAACCCCATGCTGTTACGACTGTCCTGTAATTCTTTAATTATATTAAATACCGTATAACGGGTATTTTCTGCGGTTGTCCAATTTTTGCGGAATTTTGCGGATAGGACAAATCCGCAAAAATTACAATCGCAAAATATTTTTCAATATTTCTTCAGATATATATTTTATACATGCAAGTATGATAAGTTGTGCGTATGTCACAGGATTCTCATTAACGCAAGAAGCTGCGTACTGGACGCAGCAAAATTATTTGGGACGCAAGGTTCTTAAAAACGATGCGTCCGCAAACTCATGAGTGGACACGTCCTCGTTAGCGAGAATATTCGGGTGTCATCGAAAGTCGAAGATTTTAGATGTCACTCAGGATTTGCCAAAACATATTGAATCAAAACGTTCCTGTAAATAATATCAATTTAATAATTTTATACAAAAGATCTTTTCTTGTACCTATTTCTTCATTTTATACGGATATGCATGTAGGCCTACATGTAAATGACTAAAAGAGATTTCGCAATTATTCGTCCAAACTCCGATAGCTGCAAACAACACATATTAGCTTTTCTTTCTTTCTTTAACACTTTTTTCAATCTTGTGTTTTATCTTATCATTGTTGAACACTGTGAAAATTGGTATGTCTATCTGATGCCGCTATCTATTAAATTATATTATATTAGACAATCTTATAAATGAAGTGAAAGATCAGACATATAGTTTTAATGGTGTGTTCCCATTTTGCACACATTTGATAAGTAGGTATTATGGAACAATATCATCAATCAAATATGTTTGATAGCAGTTATAGTCTGATCTCCATCTGGGATTTACCTGGAAATACCTGCATTTTACCAATGCATTATGATATATATTTAAAAGAATAACAAATACATAACTAATTACTATGTATTATGTAACAAAATACAATAACAAATATCAATACCTGAAATTTAAATGTGTGCAAAACGGGAACAAACCGTTTTAATTATGGTGACAATGCAGAATGAACTTGTGTGAAATTGCTCGGAAAATTATCAATGTCTGATTTTACAGGCATGCATGTTTCATGTTTTTCTTAATTTTTCTTGTCTATTGAAACTGAAATAAAATATATGTACATGTAGTTTCCTGACCAAGTTAAACAGAATGTATCCAGCTTCTAACGTTTTTTAGGCTTCCTGTATATAAGTACAGACTCTGAGGTACTTGAAAAAAATGTCCAAAAATGTGTATTTTGATATGATTAACTGACTAATCCGTCGGAACGTCTTGCGGTTAACCGATTAGCAATTCTGTATTTGATTGCCATCCCTAATAAATAGTGCATGTTTTTGAGGGTAACAGTTGAAATTGACACCCCAAGGAAAACCATTGTCAACCAATGCGTCAACAATGGTTTTCCTTGGGTTGTCAATTTCAACTGTTACCCTCAACAACATGCACTATTTATTTCATTATACTGAATGTCTTATTGATTAAGGATGTCACCAAAAAAAAATTTGGAGATTGCTGTTAAGTTCATGCTAGAAAACATTTATCGCTTGTCATTTGTTGTTTTCAATTTTCAATCAAGCTGAATCTTATTGGGAGTTGAACTATGTTCAATCTCCCTTGGTCATCACGGGCTTTCTAAGCGCAGTAATTTGTATTGATTATATAGTGGCCGTCTGTGGGGCTTCTGTGTCGACCAATTTACTCCTGTGATATTCAATGTAAACTTGCATAAACGTCTGCCATAAAATAGTCCATTTCAATTTTCTGAATTTATCTAATTTTGATAAATGATATGAAACTAAATCAATTGAATTTCATTTAACTTAATTTGAATACTATATTTTGATTAAATTAAAATTGATTTATACAGAACTAAAAAAATGTTGAAAATTGTCGTCACGAACCTCCTTTGCAGCACATACAGCGGCACCTATAAACAATGAGAGGGAAATTAACGACAACTCTGTACAAGTGACTATATGACTGCGCGAAACCTCTTTGCATTGACTGACACGTGGTAAACATTATTTCACAATCAATGTAATACCTATTTTTAGCCATAAATATTCGAAGTTTTCAACAATATTTATTTGGTAATACAATAAACATCAAAAGAATAAAAAAAAATTACATTGATTTGGATATAAATGAACAATTGTTCGTTTAATATTGAATCCTAACACGTTTAACATCGAAGAGGAAGAAAATCGGAGAGAAGGTGATTAACGTACACAGAAAGGTGAAACTTTAAGATAAATTACTAAATTAAGCTTTTTGAGTTTTCAAGTTGTTTTCATGTGGCATAAAATTTATAAGCATTTCACATATGAAATTCTTGATAAAATAAGTCGGAACAGCCAGGTCTGACATTCGAACTACATGTACGTATGTAAATTTTAAGTGAGAAAAACAACAAATTATAACCGTTTATGTTAGATCATATAACAAGCTGAAACTTTTTTTATTGTTATTTTTCAAACTTCCAAACAATTAATAGTCATGTGATGAAGGAAATAAACCATGGCAAAATCTTGCAAATATTTCACCTATGCTTCTAAGTATATTAGGACAGATACAAATGTAAAGTCTATACAACTGTAAATGAATTTACTGTGCAGTGATTTTCGGAGCAGAGATGTCAAAATTTTTGAATCACTGTCAGACATTAGGTCTGACAAAGTCAAATGATCTGTTAGACTGGACAAAGTTTTGTCAGACCAGATACATGCGCTGAATCGCTGATAAAGGGAAAAAATAGTAGCACTAAAATAAGATGCCTTTTAAGTTTTATGATATTCGATCTCACAAAAAGTCCTATCTTATGATACAGAGTCTCTAATCAGAGACATGCTTTAACAATTTTGATCGACAATCGTCACCATATACGTACGATTTCAGTGTTTTGTGGTCCTTACCTAGGCACAGCGTTTTAGAAAATTGCATCACGTTCAATGTTTTAAACGGTCTTTTGGACCAGTGTTTTCTTGTACGTTATCGGTCCAGAAAATTCCTTACTGACCTTGCCGACAAGATTGAGTGTTTTTGATAACTCTGCAGATAAGAATTACTTATAAAGAAAGAAGTAAATGTGTGACAATTTCAGATGTCATTAATTTTTAATCCTTAATTTCATGAATTTATCAGCATTCAGTGGGTCACGTGTACAACACTAGTACTGAACTTGAAAAATGAGTGTTACATTAATTAATGCATTTCAAATGTCTGCATATAAAAGTGTATTGCAGTAGTACGTTATTATTAAAAAATGTCTCATTTGATTTTATTAATAAAAACAATTAAAATGAATGAATGCATGCGTGTGCGGACACAATGGCTTATTAAGACCAGTGATCGATATGCGAGAAAGATCGATCCTCATAATTACAACAGTTTTATTTCTTGCAGTAGCTCGTTAAACTACATCTGATTTTTTAAAAAAAATCAAAACAGATTCAAGTCGATCGTTTTAATTCATTGAAAGTTTGAAAAACTTGTCCAGCTCAGCTACATGTATATAGTATACCTGAAATTCAATTACACTGAAATTTGTATCAAATCAAAATCACAAATAGTAAATTTCACTCACGTCGCACAGTTGTTCAAAATCGTTTGCTCTAGAGATTCAAAGTAAGGTGTTAAACATTACGTCGTGGGTTCGAATCCCACTGCGGTATGCATTTAGAAACGGACCCTTCGAATGAGACCGTATAAACCGAGATCCCGTTTCGCAGTAGGTGCTGGCACCCCCCCCCCCAAAAAAAAAAAAAATCCCTCACTGCTCAATGGTTCTGAGTGTCCTGTATAGGTAAAAATTTGCAGCCCTAGCCTCCATTGGCAAGTGGTAGTGTCTCTTTATGAGAAAAATTCTCGAAGAGATGTAAAACAAAGAAACAAAAGGCAAAGTATTCAGAGATACTTACTTCTATATAGAAATTTCTTGACATGAAATTAAAAATTATGGGATTTAAAAAAATACATAATGATTGAGTTATAAAGATAAAAACATTTTGATAGAAAAATTAAATACAAAAATTCTATAAAAATTAATTATTGTGTCCGAAAAGAACCAGTTATACCCAAAAGATAATATCAAGTACTTGTTCCAATCAGAGGAAGAAAAAAATGACAATTTTGTGTCTGGTGATGGTAACATTGAAAATAAAAAGTGCCAGTTGGTTGTTGGCACCAGGGATCAGGCCCGTAGGAAGCAATTTCAGTTTGGGGGGGCACAGCCATACATTTTCAGTCGAGGGGGCACTATCTACTACCAAAAATTTCTTGACAAGCAAAAAAAAAAAAAAAAAAGGTCATCAGACGTTATTATTGAGGGGGCACAGACATATAGTATCTATGTTTTCTATAGTAATATATATATATCGGCAAAATTATTGGGGAGGCACGGCCCCCCCGCCCCCCCCCCCCCCCCCCCCCCCGGTTCCTACGGCCATGGGGATCTTGTACATATTCAGAAGAGAGTAGGGAGGGCGTTGTGCTTCAAATGCTTTCATAGGTATTTTAAATAAATTATCAATGTTCGAAATATTAAAGAAAGGAGCCCAGAAGATAAAGATTTTATTTTCAGAAATTTGGATGAGCTGTATCAGCATGTCCATTAATATTTTACATCCAAATGACTTAAAAAGTTTCGTTTGTTTTGAGGAAACTTTGCTGCAATAGAACCATTAGAATGCAAACCATTCAAAGTTGTGTTGATTCAGTTGGCTTAACAAATTAAGACCGCGGAATATTAACTTACGTCATCTCCATCTGTTACCGTCAAAATGTTAAACGATAAACAATGAAATGTGTGGTACAATTTGACACGGACGTCCGAGAAAACATTGGATTGAATTTCCAGTTTGAAATTCATTTTCAATCTACCTCAGCTACACAAGAACGTACGGTGTTACTGATTGACCAAGAAGACAAATAATTTCAATTTTGGAATAGTTTGAAATTTATATAAATCAGAATTTTCTGTCCAGTGTATTTAAAGAAATATAAACGGACAAATATTTGATTTCTGTTTGGTATGTGAATGTGTATGCTGGGAGGGAGGGGGCTGAACGATCTTGGAATAAATATGAAAATTTTCTTTTAAATTGACAACCCCTCCCTGGTTTTGTTTGTCAAACAGTTTTCAGTGAAGACAAAACTAAAAAAAAAAGCTTTTGTCATCCTAGAAATAGATATATTCTATCATGTGGAGGCATGATCTGACTCAACAATTTTTGACCCCCCTTCTAGAATCAAATGGCCGTCCCCTGAAAAAGTAATCTCTGTCTTCTTTTACTTTTACGTATCCTTAAAATTATATGCTAAAGTACTCACATAAATATGAATGTCAAACAACATGTATTTGGGAATTGAAATTATTTGTCTTTCGGATCATACATTCACACTTTAGGTTTAGAAACAGCTCAGTTGGATTGAAAATGAATTTCAAACTAGAATTTCAATCCAATGTTTTCTCGGACGTCCGTCTTGAATTGTACCTGCTCATTTCATTGTCTCTCATTAAACATTCTGATTGTAACAGATGGAAATTTAAATGACGTAAGCTGCATATTTCTAATCTGCCAGTTAATGTTCTGCACTCTTATATTATATGGATACTATGTGAGAATTGGCTAAAAATTAATTTGGTATATTTAATGAATTAAGTAAATTGGGATTTAAGTTGAATGTATTTGTACAGGGAAAAAATCCTCATAATTGCAAGACATTGTTATTAATATTGTGTAGATTTAGAGACCCCTCAGGGTTTGATATCGCCATATTAATTTATGCTGACACATTTTTTTTCATGACAGGCACGTAGCATTGAAGAGGGGGAGGGGTCTGCCCCCCCTTTTTTCCAAACATGAAATTTATAGAAACTTAATATTGTAAATGTTCATTGAAAGTCCGTCCCCCTACTGTTCGTTGCAGAATATTCAAATAGGGGTGATGTAGTAGTGTATGAGTAAAATTTGATACTGAAAGAAGTTTGAAACCTATCCCCACACCCAAAAAATAGAATTTTCGAGCCCCCCCCCTTTTCAAAAACGATGCTACGTCCCTGCATGGGAATATTAAGTGGTAAAAGTTTTGAAAATCTGAATAAGAACAACACGGTTAAAGTCATTAAAGTTACTCAGGTGAGTATTGTGGCCCATGATCTTCGTTATTCAAATGTTTTTGAAATTATTTCTTATGTTTGATGTTGTATCTCTAGCAAATCTGCAATAGTTGGTTTGTATCTAAAGCATAAAAAAATGTTCCGACACTATAGCTCCTTTACTTCCTGTTAAATCTTTCACATTACAATGTTCAACTCCCATGAGTACTTTCAGTACTTTGATATTTTTTCTTTGAATGAGGAATAAAAGAAACATTGGACAGAAAACGTCATCAATGCATGCAGGGCATTCATGAAAAAGTTTTCTGTTCAAGTTGTCCTTGATTATACTAATCATACTGTAACATGTTAATCTTTTAATTGCCCTAGTGAAGCAAATTGACCTGGAGAAAAGGTCAGTTGATATTAAAGATGAAAAGGTCAAAGATCAAGGTCATTTGCTTTGTTTAGTCATGACAATTTGATCATCCGGTCTCATACTTCAAACAGAGATGCTGTGACCTAGCTGTATTATCTGTTCAGTGTGAATTATTATACCCCCGCTCTGAAGGAGAGGGGGGTATACTGTTTTACCCATATGTGTCTGTCTGTCTGTGTATCTGTCTGTCCGTAACAAATTTTTCGTCACAGTTTTCTCAGCAACTCTCGCAGATGCTTGAAATTTTAGCACATTCTTTGTTTAGGCTTGCCATATGGTGGGATTCATTTTTGTACGAATCTGATGTCAACTTCCTGTTTATCCATGCATCTGTCTGTACCATACATAACAAATTTTGGTCGCAGTTTTCTCAGCAACTATTGACTGCAGATGCTTGAAATTTTAGTACATTCTTTGTTTAGGCATGCCATATGGTGGGATTCATTTTTGTACGAATCCGATTTCAACTTCCTGTTTATACGTGCGTCTGTCCATACCATACACAACAAATTCTGGTCGCAGTTTTCTCAGCAACTACTGATTGCAGATGCTTGAAATTTAGCACATTCTTTGTTTAGGCATGCCATATGGTGGAATCCATTTTTGTATGAATCCGAAGTCAACTTCCTGTTCATCTGTGCGTCTGTCCGTACCATACATAACAGATTTTGGTCACAGTTTTCTCAGCAACTACTGATTGCAGATGCTTGAAATTTTAGCACATTCTTTGTTAAGGCATGCCATATGGTGGGATTCATTTTTGTATGAATCTGATGTCAACTTCTTGTTCATCCTTGTGTATGTCCATAACTGAAATTGTGTACATTCACATCAAAGCGGGGGTATTACTAGTGAGCATTGGCTCACAGACTTCTTGTTTTGTCACTTAAGATGGGATACTCCATCTTGTTTTCATACTATTTCTGAGATGATCCAGTATTCTGCACAGAAATTAGTCCCTCTTCACATTTAATAAATACATATGCACTTCAAAAGTCAGAAAAAGTTCTTCATTTATCAATGCAACTTTTACTTCTTATATTTAGATTCATAATGTTGATGTCAACAAGAGCCTTATTGTGTGTAATCTGATTCCTGCAACAACATACACAGTTGAAGTGAAGATTAAACCTTTAAGAGGATTATACTATAGTGATCCCAAACAGAACAACTTCGATACATGTGAAACAGGTATTAAATAAGAACCAAATAGGTCATATAAAGAACCATTAAAGTTTTGAATAGCACTTTCTAAAAAAAAATTATTCAGTGAAGGAAATACCTACTAAAAAACTTGTGTACTTTGGAATTTATTATTGGACTTTTGCGAGAAGCGCTGACTTTTACAAACGACGACTTACTTTTACACTAGGGCATTATACGGAAGCTCTTTTGCGATATAAACATTAAGCTCAAGAGTTAATTAAACGATGATAAAGGACCATTTCAAAGCAAATATTACGTTGTCTAGGAAGGGATCGGCATCCACCCTACCCTCAACCCCCTCCATTCCCACTTTGACCAATTCTTGCTTAGTTTTTCTTCCGATATGTTTTTTTCTTCCTTATTTCATTCTTTCAGAAAAATTAGATTGAAAGGAGGTACTAACCTCACAAATAAGGTAATTTATGGTATGCAATTCTGCCTCTCATCATCTCTTGCATTGATTGCATACCGGTAAATCAAGTTAGTGCCCCTACCACCATACCTATAACTACTGTTAAGGTTTTCTTGTCTATTATCAATTCCGTGCCTCCGTACATAAGGCAGGTTTAAATGTCAAAGTAAGCCATCGACTGTAAAAGTCAGTGCTTCTCGTAAAAGTCCATTATTGGTATGTATTGGTATATGTCCCACCTCTAATGAATTCGTAAAATTAGATATGTTATACAAGACTGCTTTAAAAAGCACAAATTAAACACTGAGAATCACCCCAATGAAGTTGATGTGAGATTATGATCTCCCTCCCTCCAGCACTGGCTTGTCCTTTAAGAATGTAAGAATTATACAGTCAAACCTCATTATCTTGAACTCAAAGGCTTGAGAAATAAAAACTTAATGATATCTGAGGATTTGAGATATCGGGGATAAAATACTTTAAGAATAAGTGATTGGGACTTATAAATCACTGACATATCCATGGTATTTGAGATATCAGTGTTCAAGATACTTAACTTCAACTGTATTTTATTTTTGAAAGTTCCTGAAGGATTATGACTTCAAGTTATTAATAAATATTTTTCACCCAGGACTATTCTAGGGCATGTTTATAGTAAACAGGTAACATACAGTTAAAGTATATCATTGAGGGAGCTAACAAGATTCCAGTTCCCTGAGACCAGGAATATTTCCAGAGGTGAACCTGATGGGAATATGACAACTTGAATCTTACTAACTCCCTCAATGAAATATAGTCAAACCTCATTGTCTTGTAGTCGATGGAACGAAGAAAAACTTCTAAGATATCCTAGGATTTGAGATAGGGAGGGTAAAATACTTAAAGAATAAGTTGTTGGGACTTCCAAAGTGGTTCAACAAATTAATGGTATTCTCCATATCGGAGTTCGAGATATCATAGCTCAACTGTACTTTATAACTGTTTTATTATATGGATACAAAAGCAAACTCTAGAGGATCATGGATAAACAGGAATTAGTTTTCAAAGCAGGGATTACATGTAGCTTACTTGACTAATGCACAGCAAAATGGATATTAGTCCATTCACGGCAATTTAGGGAATTATTAACATTTAACAAACTAATTTTATATAAGGAAAAATCAGTAGAGATATAATTACATTTGAAAAGTATCAGGTCGTAATTATCTAATCTTGATGATTTTTTTTAACTTTAAACTGAAATACATTACTGTATTTACATTCAAGAAACTTGCAAACTGTCTAGGGGTTATTATGTCATTTAAACTTAAAGTAACTGTAAGCAAATTACTGATCGATCCTTAATCATCAGTTGCTGTTCAAGGAATCTTAAAGAGTATCACATCATTGTCCTGTGCTCAAAAAGTGTTGGGAGAATGTACAGCAAAGTGATTAAAATCCCTACCTGGACTAAAGTTGAAGTTTTCTAGTATCATACACAATTCATTGCACTTGACCTACTTACTATGGCCAAGTTTTTGAAGGAGGTCCATTATTATATATTTACATACATGTATACAGTGGACTCCCAGTATAACCAGATGCTTGGGACATCGGTATAGATCTCACATCCTCATATGATCAACAGTTGATGATGAATAATATTGCAGATGCTAACGCTAACATGCCTCGGACTTTCCCACGCTAACACGCCTTGGACTGTCTGAAATCTGACATAATTAATGGAGAGTTTTCGGCTTATGACCATTACAGATACTTCCCTGACCTCCCTTCTCCCCCTTGTATGCATGTAAAATATATATTGATTGAAAATTTTATTTGTTGTAGTCCCCTCTCTTGCTCCATCCATGCAGCCCAGTGGTTATTCCTCAGAGATTTGTAACTCGGGAAATCGATCCATTACTGTTTACTGGGAGGTAATGCTTTGAAAATTTTGTTCATCATTTTACAAGCAATCAAGATATCAAAATAAGATTATGACTCTTATATATATATATATATATATATATATATATATATATATATATATATATATATATATATATATATATATATATATATATATATATATATGTATATATATATGTGTGTGTGTGTGTGTGTGTGTATTGAGAATTATTTTATTAAAAAGAGACTTTAACTTGCTATGAGAAAAATTTAATATATATCGATTAAATTTACAGGTTAAAAAAGAGCATTGAAGGTTTCAATATTCAGTATTGACCTGAATTAAGCGTGCATTTTTTTACAGTTAAAGGAAAGTCTTTTCAAAATCTGCATTGCCGATTTGAAGCACATGGAAATTTGTGCTAAATTTGTATTCAAATTTTGGTTTTGAAGTTATTTTTCCTCTCTTGAATTAATTTAACTAACAAGTGCTATTAAATGTACAGTTATGCCTACACTATCTTCGAACACTTTATTTTATCTAATGAAAGTTGTTTTCCAAGATTCCTTGATATGTACATAAATATCATTTCTCTTTTTCTTGGTTCAATTTGTTCCTGATGGCCCTGATAACCAGCTCGTTCTATCGGAAGCCATTTTAAAGTGACTTCAAACTCTGATTTGTCAAAACAACTCTCTGGTAATTATTTACACCTGCACTGATAATTTACTGGTACACACGGCCTACTGAACATAGCCATCGGCATTGTTTGCGTAAATCCAAGCTTGGGTTGTAACTGGAAGTTTAAAGTGCAACCTAATTTTCAAACCAAATCCAGAAATTGGGAGATTTTCGGGTTGTTAGGCAAAAATTGGGTGAAAAGCATGACCCGCCGTGTCATAAAAAATAATCGGGTTAAGGGTCGAAAAATTGGGTGTAACCCGACGGAATCGGGTGAGTTAGCAACTATGTAAAATAAAAGCTTTGAAATTTTGCCTTGAATTCATTCTTTCTGATGATTTATATATATATATATATGGGAAATACAATGAAAAAATAAAAATATTGGCCATTTAATGCACTTTTTAATGTCTGAAATTTGAATCTCCCAATATACAAACTTCAAGAGAGAATCGGATGCCATATATAGTTTGTGACAAGTGCTCACTTCTTTAGAAACAATAAAACTTAAAGCGATTAAAGCGAACATGCTTATAACGATTTGATGCTTACAGCAAAGTGATTTTCATTCCCCATGGCTTTAAAATATATTGTGAATTTAAAAAATATAACAAATTTCGTTCATAACAATGCAAAATCGTCCATTTGTAGCACTTTATTTTAATTTATGGTACTCACTAGGAAGAACATGCAATTTGGGGTTTGATGAATTTTTTCACACTTTGGCAAGCTCAAATGTCATAATTTTTTTGCATTGATTATTTTAAAATTGATTAGAAATATCAAGTAATTATAAATTGTAAATCATGAAAAATAATTTTACCCTGATTTTAAATGTATTTGTAATGTTTACATTTATGTCACAACACCTCTCTGTCACGGTGCATACAAAATGATTCTAATTAAGTTACATTTTTAGTTCCACAAGGAGAAAACATATTATCTGGATTAGTTGTAAATGAAAAGAAAAAATTAAATTCCTGCCATAAGTATTGTATACAGTTTAATTTGTATGAATTGGTTTAACATCGCTGTTAATACATATGATCGTAAGTGGATGCATTTGCCATCTTGTATATAGAACTACATTGTGTAACTATTTTAATAGAAAACACTAAACATCAGCCAATACTACATGTACCTGCAATTGTTGTAAAACACTGAATTTTTCATTGTTAAAAACATTTAAGAAGGGTAAAATAGTTGTATTTTGCTTAATGAAATCTTAATAATTTACATAAATTGATTTATACATAAATATAGTTATGGTGAAAGTTTATATTTGTGTGTCCATGATATATCCATTCTTCAAAACACTAATAATCCTGACAAAATGTTTGTAGAAGATTCCCAGGAAATTTCAGAATGGACCTTTGAAGGAATATAGGGTGTCATTAGGTGATGAGAATTGGAAGATAGTGGCCCCAAATGCAACATTAGGTACTATTGATATCCCTTGTGGTGGCCATAACGTATCTGTTCAAGGATGTAACCGGCGGGGATGTTCACCAGATTCTTCTATATACATACCAGCCTACAGAGGTAAATAAAAATAATATTAGTACAAGATTTTTATGCATGAAGTTGATGCAAAATAAAACGAACACTGTACCATGTGTGTAGAAATTTATGAACAGTAATCTAGTTCATAAAATTATTGGTGCAGAATAAAGCTTATTTTATGGCCAGTATACATGATAAGGCTTACCTTATAAGTCTAAAACCTTACGTTTTGCTGGCTGTACGGATCCATGTCCACACGCTAAGGCATCACTTACAGGATTATAAACACTTTTTCCATACATTCCATGTGTTTTTAGCCATAAACCATGTTAACGGTGCATTCAGTCATTATATAAAAGACGATATTACTAGGGCCGTGTAATTTGTTATAATTTTACTGACCATTGCATGCACACTTCTTTAAAAGATGAAGAGAAGTGGAACAGAAGTATTTGTGGATATTCAAAAATACTCAGTGTTCACTTCAATTTACCCATGTGAATTGTTTGATTAAAATAGATTGACACTTGGGCGAATGATTTTCATTGGCTAAGAAGAAAAGGTCAGTTAAGTCTTGTATTAAAAAATAGAGTAGAGTTCTTACTGTTCTATTTGAAAGTCAGACTTGAGGCTCGAAAAAAAACATGTATGAAAGGTGTACACACGGCAAGGCTAGAACTTTAGTTCCATGACTTATATGGCAAGCTTTAACATGTATACCAGCCCTTTGGAAGGTACATGTACATGTTCAGTGAAGGTCAAAAGCATTATTAGGGATAATTATGTAATTTTATAACATTCATTACTTCGCTAGTTAAATCCCATACAGCAAGATAACAATTGTAATACTATTGTCCACATGATGTCATCATGGTAAATTACAGAGTTATCCTTCCTGGCTGAGGATCGGATATCCTTTATTCATAGAAGATATTAATTTGTGGATGAGAGGTACCCACGAATTCCATGAATATTGAGCCATCACGAAATCTAACGATTCTACAGTATTTTAATTTATATTAAAATCATGTGATAATATAGTAACTTTACAAAGAAACTAAATTTTTAAAGTTCAGTTTAAAAATCTGTCTATATTTGTACACTTCTAAATATCCAGTCGCCTGCGTGGCGCAGTGGTTAGAGTGTCTGCTCTAGAGTCACAGAGTAAGGAGGTGATCCTTATGTCGCGGGTTCGAATCCCACTGTGGGACGTGGAGACTGGTCCTTCGGATGAGACCGTATAAACCGAGGCCCCGTGTCGCAGTAGGTGCTGGCACGAAAAAGACCCCTCACTGCTCAATGGCCGTAAGTGCCGAGTATAGGACAAAATTTGCAGCTCTCCACTGGCAAGTAGTGGTGTCTCCATATGAGTGAAAAATTCTTGAGAGGGACGTTAAACAACATACAATCAATCTATAATTCCATTGATTTCTTCAAAGTACATTTACGTCTTAACAGTGCTGCAAAAGATGCACATTCCTTACATTTGCTGTAGATATTTTTCTTTAGTTGCCTTAAGCCTACCAAATTAAACTATTTTTGTGTCACTTGCAGAGCAGAGTGACACTTAGGAATCATGTCTATCTAGCTGTCTTTCCTTCCATTGGTCTATCTGTCACCCCGAATATCTCAAGAATTGTTTGAGGAAGGGGTTTGATATTTTGGTCGTGTATTGCTTGAAACAAAACAATAGCTTTGTAAATAATCAGGCTTATAGTGACCTCATGACCTTTGAAGTTGACCTTTGATCTACTTTTCAAAATAACCCCTTATTGCCATTATACACGATATTCTTTGACTTTTGAGATAAAGTACTGCAAGTCCACTGACCTTGACCTTTGACCTACTTTTAAATAATGCAAGCTTGCGTGGATGAAGCATCAGGGTTTGCACACTACCACACTTGCTTCAGAAGCTTTTTCCAGATGAGTTTACAGAAAAAGTTTTTGAAACAAGCATTCCCTGTTAACAGAATCCTGCCAAGGCAAAACTTTGATAAATGTTGCATCTAGTGATGAAGATTACCAGAATATTTGTGTAGTCATGTTAGTCTTTCTTTACTGAAAGATAACACTCATTGAAGTAAGCTTTGTAATCTTTGATAATCTATGTTTTTTACTAGATGTCGTTTCCCCCCAAAAAGTTATAGTAGAACAGATGGGGCTAACAAAGGTCCAGATATCCTGGCTTGGGTTGGAGAGAGAGGCCATTCTGGCTAATGATGTAGTGTGGTGCAAAGTGAAGCCCGCAGTACTGCAGTGTCAGGTAATATGATAAAAATAAAAAAGCTCATTCCGACAAAAGGTAACTATAGCTTTATAGAATGAAAGAAAGAACTGGACTGTCATATAAAATATGTACTGTAAACTGTTTATTAAAAAAAATCATATCTTGAAAGGTATTTTACCTAATAGATTTAATAATAATACTGCAATGTCAGGAAAGATATATATTAAGTAGTCAGGAAGGGTTGGACACCAGTACTCAGTATCCGTACAATACTGAGTACCGGTAGTTGTTTTAAAATTACCGGTAAAATACCATTAATGAGTCATTTAATAATGGTACCTATATTGAGATTACTGTTTTTTGTCATGTATTTTAATGCATTCAAGTCAACTGAACAAAACTGTGCACTTTTGAAAATATATAACCACAAAATTGAATTTTACCAAATGTGTAGTATTGTTATGCTAAGCACCAATATAAACTATACTGGGCCTTGCTTTGTGAGTTGCCTAAAATTTTCAGTTAATCAATGATTGATTAGTATATAAATGTAAAGTGCAAAATGACATTACCAGCTCTATTATGTTTCCTTGTCATTGTCCACACTTATGCAAAATGGCTGCTAGAAGAGAAAATCAAATATAAAACTTCATAAAAATTAGAGCAGAATTTTTCCACGATTGGTCTTTGCATTATCACTTAACTTTTCATTGTATAGAAAATATGAAAAAAATTGCTATAGGTCTACCTCAAAATGGACAGTTTCAGACCCGAGAACCAATTTTATTTAGCCTAATGATGTGTCGAGATGCTTTGCTTTGACTTCCTTTATTTAAGAAATAAACAACGTTATTCAGTGAACATGGCATTCTGAATAGCAATTGCTCTGCTGGCATATTTTCCATAATGTGCGTTAACGCATCATTGAAAATATGCCAGCAGAGTTATTGCTATTCATAATGCCATGTTCACTGAATAATCGTTGTTTATTACTTATATTTGCATTCTGTGATGTCAAGAATATCAGAGGAAATCCTGGCCTGCATAAGGGCATGGGTGCTGTCTCCAGTGAAGAAAAACATGACACTGAAATTAGTAAACCTGATTAATAATGATTTATCCACTTTATCTCCAATTAATCACATACAATGTATATGGTATTTGCTTATTGACCACAGTTATCTGGATACAAAACGCTGCCGTCTTCAAGTTCTTAATTTTTTGTTTTGATGCTGTTGAGATGCGCCATGACGTCATCGTCATCAAAACTCTCTTGAGAAAAATTAGAGATAACAATATTATGAAAAAAGAGTGTTTTTACATTGATTTTAACTTAAGAATGTTTTTGTTATGTTTCCTTAAGTTCATAAATTCTTTTTAAGAATTAAAATTGTTCTTGAAATAGATACACTATTACAGAAATTTCGCTTTGGCTCTGTTTAATTTGGAGAAAGTTTTATTTTACAAGTAAACACATTGACTAAAATTATTATTTTTTTAAAATTGAAAAAACCTCAATCAGTAATCTTAATCATTTTAAATTTCTTTTTTCCCAGAGGATTCCATTAAAAACTTAATTTTATTGCTTTTGCACAACATCCCATATATATACTTCTGAATGTGTTATTTAAGTGGAGTAGCTTGTACTGCAACAGTGAAAGAAACGAAATACATTTATACCAGAAGAAGTTGCGTTCGTGGTGCTATAAACGCAACTGGTGAGTGCAGATTCATAGTGGGAGAAAACGGAGAGTATGCAAATATTTAATTATAATATTCACCATTTAGCTTGACATCTAGTAATTCTTTATTCAGGGTGAAATACATATATTGAGAAGAACAGGGAATATGAACCACACTGTTCTACATGCAGACACTATTGATCAAGCTCTGGATGATGTTATATTTGGTGTGGCAGCCATCAATGATAAGAATGTCAGCAGTGGAATCAAATGGCAAGAGGAATGCAGATATGTGAAAGATGCAGGTATAAGAAATGAAAGATAAGGTTATAAGAAAATATGAAAGAGGCAGGTATAAGAAAATGTGAAAGATGCAGGTACAGTACTAGAAATGTGAAAGATGCCAGTACAGTACTAGAATGTGAAAGATGCAGGTACAGTACTAGAATGTGAAAGATACAGGTACAGTACTAGAATGTGAAAGATTAGATACAGTATTAGAAATGTGAAAGATGCAGGTACAGTACTAGAAATGTGAAGGATACAGGTACAGTACTAGAAATGTGAAAGATGCCAGTACAGTACTAGAATGTGAAAGATGCCAGTACTGTACTAGAATGTGAAAGATGCCAGTACAGTACTAGAAAGTGAAAGATACAGGTACAGTACTAGAATGTGAAAGATACAGGTACAGTTCTAGAATGTGAAAGATGCCAGTACAGTACTAGAATGTGAAAGATACAGGTACAGTACTAGAATGTGAAAGATACAGGTACAGTACTAGAATGTGAAAGATACAGGTACAGTACTAGAATGTGAAAGATGCAGGTACAGTACTAAAAATGTGAAAGATGCTGGTTCAGTACTAGAATGTGAAAGATGCAGGTACAGTACTAGAATGTGAAAGATTAGATACAGTATTAGAAATGTGAAAGATGCAGGTACAGTACTAGAATGTGGAAGATACAGGTACAGTACTAGGATGTGAAAGATGCAGGTACAGTACTAGAAATGTGAAAGATGAAGGTACAGTACAAGAAATGTGAAATATCCAGGTACAGTACTAGAAACGTGAAAGATGAGATACAGTATTAGAAATGTGAAGGATGCAAGTACATGCAGTACTAGAAATATGAAAGATGAGGTACAGTATTAGAAATGTGAAGGATGCAGGTACAATACTAGAAATGTGAAAGATGCAGGTACAGAACATATACCAGAAATGTGAAAGAGATGGGTACAGTACATATACGAGAAATGTGAAACAGACAACATTATAAAATCATAATACATCAAAGGTCAGGGGTGTGCAATTAGCATCGCCCGACGCCCGGGGCTACCATTTTTTTGGGTCGGGCTAGTAGTTTTCTGCACAGAGGTAGCCCCTTGGGCTAGTAAAAATTAAAACTACCATTGTAATACATGTACATGAAAATTACTATCGGTATTTTTACTCTTGGACGTCAAGTCTCAACTCTGATATCTCGACACCTCGGATATCTCGACATCTTCCGATGGTCCCGTCGATGTCGAGATAACGAAGTTTACCTGTACATGAAAATTACTATCGGTATTTTCACTCACTATTTGCTATTAAATTCTCAAAAAAATGAAAAAATTTTGGCAGCATGTTCCTACTCTTCGTTAATCGTTAATCTCCATAATCGTATCTAACTTATCTAACCTGACTTATTTACTTCCAAAAACGATCATTTTTATCTAATCCAAATTTCCTCTATTCCTCTGCTCATGGTAAATACACATGCAGATATCTCATTAAATTATTTACGATCACTCAATCAACTGAAAGATAAGTGTTATGTGGTTTACATAAAATATATTTCCAGCGTATTTAATGATTAATTAAATAATCATTAAATAATCAATTAATTAAGATGAGAAAATGATTTTCATTTCGTTGTAGATAAGATAATTTATTTGAATTCATTTTTATTTTCTATCATAATTATTAATTTATACATGATTTAATCTTACTAGTGAGAATTAAACTTTAATTTTAAAAAGAATTAATGACATTAAAACCCTGACTTTTTCAACAATAAACAGTTTTCTGTTACCCCCCCCCCCCCCCCCTTTACATTTGGGCTAGTAACTTTTTACTTGGGGCTAGTAACTTTATTGCTGCCACTAGCCCGTGGGCTAGTACTTAATTTTTTTAATTGCACACCCCTGAAAGGTCATTGTAAGTTGTTTTGATGGATGTATTACTTAATTTCTCTTTTAATTAATTAGGGCCTCGCAAGGATTTGTGGGTGCCCTATAGTAATCACTCTGTCTGTCTGTCTGTCCATTCATCTGTCTGTCTGTCATTCTTCTGTCCACAAATTTTCTGTTTTTGTTTTCTAGTAACTTTTTTTAAGGTTTACTAATTAAGTTTAAATTTGGTATGTTGGTTGAATAGGCAGTAAGACATATTTTGATGCTAAAGTTTGGTTCTCTATGTCATCTGGGGTGGGGGTAGATTCCTTAACTTTATATAAGAATGAATGGGCAAAGAGAGATAACTGCTGAGAATGTTCCTATTACGAACTATGAAAGCTGCAACGAGTCTCTTGGGATTAATTAACTTTGCTCTTGAAGAAAATCCAAACCATTTATCTTTATCTGTCACATTGTGATTAATTAATTAAGACCTCTGTCTGCAAATGAAGTTTGTTTTGAAGTTAAGGTCAATTCTGAATGATGTTTACATTCTCTGAAATGTGGATTTAAATAATGTTCATATTACTTTATTTTGGTTAAATACACAATGAGTTATGATTTTATGAATTCTAAAAACAAGATATAGATAAATATATCTTTTCTATTATTATTTTATTTTATTTTTTTTCTTTCTTTTTTCCTGCATTATGTAAATTCAAGAATACTATTAATTTTAACAGGTAGTCCGATAAAAACCTCATTCTGTCATTGCTGAAAAAGTTCATATTGTAAACCTAGAGGGAAAGGATGAGAGAGCAGTACAATTAATCCCCCCGAATTAATTATCTTGCTGGTTGAGAAAAATTAACACCTTTGTCGGCAATTGTTGTTTTGATGTTTGTTTTGAAGTTAAGATCAAGCCTGGGTGATATTTGCATTCACTGAAGGCTGGCATTTTAGAAAACTCATGCTTCATTCTTCTTTAGATATACATTTAATTGAGTTCTAATAGATTTGATTTTTTTACTGTCTTATGTAAATACAAAGATACTATTTACAGGTTGTTGGATATTTGCGAATTATCTTGAAATTTTATAAATACAGTTGCTGTTGCTTATTGATCTTCTTCATATATTTTAAAATTTTTGTAATCAAGTAAAATTCTCATTCTCTAATCTGCACCCTTTATTTCTACCCCTGGGGGGGGGGGGGGGGGGGGGGCTTGCTGACTGGTCAGATTTCTAGTTTATTTAATGTTAACAACGGTAAGTAATTGAAGAACGGAATCAAATGCCAGAGTTTAATATTATATTTGCTAAGAAAACTTGCATGTATCTGAGATTGTCAAATTTATGTACCCCAATGACCAGGGATCAGACCTTGGGGTGGGGCTTTAAGTTGGTCATATGCTGGAATTTATAACACAGTGTTTTGTATCCTCTTTAATAGTCCTAAACTTGTAGGAGTCCAGCTGGAGAGTGATAACGATTATATCACAATAGTGTTTTCAAATAATGGTAAGGGTTTTGTCACACAAGATCAGACTAGTTCCAGGTGGGCCCAATGTGGCCATAGTCTGAGAAACTCATGATACTCAGGTGACCATTAAGACCTCTTCTTCAAGACACTTGCTAAAAGCATTCCCCCCCCCCCCCCCCAAAAAAAAATCTTGAAATAAAGTATTAGATCTATTTCAATGTAAGAGGATTAATAAGTTTAACCAGAGAAAGTTTTTTTCTTATTCAAGATTTTGCAGTAGTAACCTGTAAAGTGTAAAAAAAAAAAATGTACAGATTTATAAGGGGATGGCAATAGAGAATTTTAAACTTGGTAATAAAAGACAACTTGTTCATTAAAATATACAAATTAAAGTAAAATATTAATTCTTGATTCCAACTTAAGACAATTCTCCTGGACTTCAATGCACAAGTTCAAATCATTAGAACTATACAGTCTCATCAGTGAATTTTGGTTGTGTTTTGATCCATTCAATACTTCATTAAATATACATTTTTTAAAAAAATTTTAGTGCCTCCCCCTGTGCAGACTGTCCCCCTCCTCCCAGATCCTCCTAAAAACAGTCTAGTAGTATCCTGGATCCCACTGAAATGTGATTCAGGGGCTTCAAATAATGCCTACATCAAAATGTACCAGATAATCTACTGCCAGTTAAATACCCATGGATCTTGCAAAGGTTTGAAAATATTTCACAATTTCTAAACATAAATGTATCATTGTAAAGTAAAATGCTCTTCAAATTTTATGTTGCACCATATTCAGGCGTATTAATAATCTGTTCATGCTTTAAAGCTAAATGTTTTAGTTGTTAATAGTGGAAACACAATATTTTTGAAATGATTTTAATTCCTACAATCTTTGAGAAGCTAGGTAATGGAACCTTTTGATTTTAAGTAATTATTATTGATTTATAGGCGGGGAATTTTCTGTGAATGTTCCTGCAGACAGTACTACACAGTACACACTAAGAAACCTTGAGGCAGACACTGAATATGGTGTGTGGGTAAAAGCCATATCACTTACAAAGGAGGGACATAAAAGTGAAATGTTGTCTGGACGACCTACTAATAATGGTAAGAATTATTCTTCCATAAACATGAGTTTACTTCAGTTTTAACTGGACTTTCATCAAAAATCATATTTTGACATGTACATGTAATGTGTATCTTTAAAAGGAAATTGAAAAATATATAGCCAGCTAAACCGCATTATTTTTGCATATTATATAATTGAAGAAAAATTTTTGCAAATATAGCTAATTACTAATTATACCCCACGCAACAAGTTGCGTGAGGTATAATGTTTTTGACCCGTCAGTCAGTCAGTCAGTCAGTCCTGTTTTTTTGTCAGCGCAACTCCTCATAAACCGCTGCACAGAATTTGGTCAAACTTTGCAGATATTTAGTACACAGTGTGTAGATGTGCATATTTCCAGGAAATTCTGATTCCTTTATTTTTTCTGGGAATTTCGACACTTTTCAACCTAGATTTTTGGCCATATCTTGAATATAGAGGTGAACAGTTTGTCAGCGCAACTCCTCTTAAACCGTTGCACAGAATTTGGTCAAACTTTGCAGATATTTAGTACACAGTGTGTAGATGTGCATATTACCAGGAAATTCCGATTCCTTTATTTTTCTGGGAATTTTGGCACTTTTCAACTTAGATTTTTGGCCATATCTTGAATATAGAGATGAACAGTTTGTCAGCGCAACTCCTCTTAAACCGCAGCACAGAATTTGGTCAAACTTTGCAGATATTTAGTACACAGTGTGTAGATGTGCATATTACCAGGAAATTCCGATTCCATTATTTTTGCCTGAAGAGTTTTGCCTATTATTGAAGAAACTTTCCAGCTAGGTAATAAGCAAATCCACTGGAATCAACTTTTGTAATGAAATTTTATGTGAAATATTTTATGACCTTAAAAGACTCCTATTGATTTTGATCAAAATATTAATGATTTAATACACACACACACACACACCAAATCTTGGATAGTTCTCCCCCTCCCTCCCCCCCCCCCCCCCCCCCCCCAAATTGGTGCTTAGCCTGCATCATAATTTTGTTTCCATCAATTATTTAAATGTGTAAATTGTCATGTGTTGGACATGGACTTACACTCATTAACAAATCAAAATCACTGAGGAATTTAAATAAATAACAGTTTGTCAGCATAACTCCTGCACTGAATTTCCTGAAACTTTAGGTATTTCAGACATAATGAATAGATTTGTATATTACCAAGAAATTTTGATTCCATTATTTATCTAGAAACTTCAGCCCAATTAAATTTGTAACATACAAAGATTTGAATGTCCTTATATGCAAGAAGTTTTGATGTGATGATTTTTTGCAAGTAATGCCCCTTTTGGAATTATACTGTATATTTGAAATGCACTGTGCCATTCATTACGTGTTGCATTGTCGAGTTTTGGGGGAGCGTGGGGTATATGAGCTTGCTCACTTTTTCTTTCATTGTTTTCTCTTTCAGAAAAGAAAATTGTTGTGATATAGATTGATCTTATATATAACCAATAAATTTCCTTTTATTTGACATGTGTTTTTAAATTAATTGTGAACATTGTAATGTTATAAAAACATATATAGGGACATATTCACTGGTGATTTTCACAATAATTAATTTTCCTTATTTGAAGAATTATTTCTCAAATGGCTCATTATTGAGTAAAGACTGCACTACTTGAGTACATAGGTCAGGTACTGATTGAAACTAGCTGTTAAATCAATTTTAGATACTTCAGTGTCTGGATCTCTTGTGACATATAATTGCTGTGTTTTTATTTGCAAGTTGTTGAAGTATGGAACAGGCCAGGCAGAGGAAATAACGAAATATATATATATATATATATATATAATATATATATATATATATATATATATATATATATATATATATATATATATATATATATATATATATATATATATATATATTTAAACTGCCTTGAATGTTTGAAAATATATTCTATTGCTTCTTATCAAGTTATGATCCAAGTGTGGTAAAGCAATGATCCAGGGTGATTTAGAGGTCAAGGTCATTAAACATAGAAGTATGATTTTTTTTTTTTATTGATATAAGTATAACTTTGTTTCACAGAAATACTAGAATCTTATTTTGACAGAAACAAGTGTATTTTAACGTCGATGTTTTGTATCATCTTATACATGTACTTTGAAGTTTTTTTTAGTCCCATCAAGTTTGAGATAATGAGATTTTAGTGTATAATCAATTCCATTGCATGAACATTAATATTTTGCATTCCATAGTGCCATAACTCATCCTGTTGTGTATACAAATTAGTGCACAATAGTGCATTTAAAATTAAAAAAGCTGTATGCTCATCAGTGTACTTAACATAATTGCATGCACATGAATTGCGGGAAAGGAATTTTATACCATTGTTTTTTTTCCAAACGGCTAGTACATTTGTATTTATTTCTGTGACATATAAATTTGTACTCCTGTAATATATAGCAATAGAATTCAATTGTAAGAGTAATTTGTAAAGAGAATAACTGTGAAACAGAAACATAATTCAATATTTGCTTAAATCTAAATAAAATTTAAGTTTACTAAATTGAAACTTGTAATCCATCTTACAATACGCTGAAACTATAGTTAGTGATACTGTAAACAGGAGTAAATGTTCATGTTTAGGAGTACTGCTATGCTTTTAAATAGAAAAAAATAGGTAAAATAAATTTCCCAGTTTCCAAAATCTTTGTGAAATTTGAAAGAACATTTTCAAAAGAACATCTCATAATTTTGGAAAATATATCCAATGGAAAGTTAACACTACATGTATATTTATATAAGTCAAATCCCATATCTCAAACTAGATGGGACTTAAAGAAAGAAATAAAGATATCCAAGGGTTAGAGATATTGAGGGTAAAATACCTGGAGAAAAATGGTTGGGACTTTCAACTCACTTTGAAATATCCATGGTATTTGAAATACTGAATTTATCTGTATCTTCTATATTTAAATTAAATAAATCCAAGGTAAAGATGTACTTGCTAAAATTATGTCGTTGTTAACCCAGAAGAGTTTTCTTTCTTTGTGCTCTTCACAACTTGCTACATGTACATGTGTGTTGAGTAAAATTACTATGGAGGTTAAAGTGAGAGACTGGATGTGTGTTTATGTGATACATGTTTTAATATGTAATACGATGCTAGACAGAAAACTCTAATAAATGAAATAGCAATCCTACCAAATAGTTTAATACCAAGATTCTGACACTAAAAACCTGGTCATAATTTGATCTGCAAAACCAAGTTTCCTATTTTCCATGTGGTGTCATAAATGAATCTTTTCAGTTGATAATACGATAATTAACACATGGAAAAGAGTGTACAAGACTTCTCTATTTTGTTCAGTAAACCTTGACTATTTCCAGTTTCTATTACCTTATTAAGACTGTGAAATCAATATTTTTGTGGTGTCAAATTTTCTTCATTTTATGAAAAATAATTGGTTCTTGGGGTTTTCATTTTGTGCTTGGGGATGTGTATATGAAATTTTACATTTCGTGATGGACGTGAATTTGTGGGTTTCTTCATACCTTGAAAACCTGAAAATTAAACCACCATGAAAATGATTTCACCTTAAGCATTTAACTAATTAAACTTGTAATTAACTAATTATTATTATCATTGTAGATTTAACTGACGCATCAATTGCAGGCATTGCTATTGGGGGAATATTTGTTCTTGTACTAGTCATTGCAGGATTCGTATGTGTTTGCAGGTATGTGTTTCAGCTGGCAAAGGTATATATAGGTCCAGAATATGATAATAAATAACATTTTTCTTGGATTGACTGAAAATACATGCTTATCTTTTTTTTTATTTGTCATTGAGTATTCATCATTGGATTTATATAAGATAGAAGATTTTATTTTTTAGATATAATGCTTTCAAATTGGAAATTGTATTTAAGTTCATTTAAAATATATTTTTTGAGTAGAAACTTTGTAGTGAAAAACTAATTAAAGAAATGTGCTCTGATGTAGGTGAACTAAACCTTGTGTATGGTACTCATTTTCCTTGAACATATGATGTTTGTAACCTTTTTATTCCTTTACAGACAAGTAAAACGTAAATTAGGTCTGGATGAAACATTTGATATAGAAAATATACAAGTTAGACCCCTTGAAAATCGGGTATGTATGCGCTGAGTGGAAAATTTAATAATTACAGACAATTCTGATGATCACTTTGGTGTTAGAAATTGAAACTATTTATTTAAAGCAATGGTTGTCGTAAACGGTTATTATAAATCAATCTTTTATGAGATATAATCTGGACAAAGAACTCTTCTTAATTGTAGGTTATAACAAGATTCTTCCAAGAAAACATGTCACCTATAGTACAACATTTTTAAGGATAAAATTGTTTCAAACTGGATTTTCTTTCTGATCAAAGTTATTTGGAAACTTGTTTTAATCTTGAGTGGAGAGTTAAATGCAAAGGACAAGGTCACTAAGTGGTTATTAATATTTGTAGACTTGAAACAACAAGAAACTGACACAATAAATCATGCCTCCATCTTATACTAGTCTGTTAAATATATTTATTATATACCCAACTGTTTGTCACTCAGTTTTACTGTTGAATTCACGCAATCACGTGACGATGTGATCCGATGTTCTGGATCACCACACTGAGGTTTTCTGAATCCATATCACCCCTCTCTGAAACTGATGACGTAGTACACAGATAAATGACGTTTTTATTCTCGCGCATCAAAATGTTTGTTGACAAAATGGTTTGTTTAATGGACTTAAGTTCTGTAATTGATCCAAAAAGTTTCCTTTTATTATATTTTGCTAGTTGTAAAGGGGTATATAATAAATTTATCATTATAACAGTAACGTGATCCGAAGAGCCGTATCACGTCAAGTTGACAGGCGCGGATCATCAGATCTGATGATCCGCGCCTGTCACCTTGACGTGATACGGCTCTTCGGATCACGTTACTGTTATAATAATATATATAGACATCATGCCCCCCCCCCCCCCAAAAAAAAAAAAAATATTAAAAAAACGAACTTTTTTAAGGTTCACAAGGTCAGGAAGCCCATATGCAATAAAACATCTATCAAATTTTTTGGCAGAAATACATGTTTAAGAAATTTCTGTCACTTGTTCTCTTGTTAACAAAGCACAGGGAATATGGCAAAAAGACAGATAACTGAATGCTTAAATAACAGTCGGTCTGAGGTTTTATCTTTGTAAAGTTGGCTTTGAACTCATCCTCATCATTTTTTGAACTGAACACCAACTCTTGCATTCATACATTACAAATTTGTGATATGTATACAAAAGGTAGATATGCCATATTATTTGTGTTAAGATAAAGAATTTTAAGAAATGTTTTTGTGCTTTTCAGCCTACTGGAAGCAATTTGTATAACCTTATTACGACACCAGCTGACAGGTCCAGGTCTAGCTCCCCCCTCATCACCCCTGTAAGTATACTGTAACAACTGATAATATGCACTTTAATTTAAATAACATCACCACATAACTAGATTCTAAATAACTCCACATCATCTGACACACATATACACTGTACTGTAACAACTGATAATATGCACTTTAATTTAAATAACATCACCACATAACTAGATTCTAGATAACTACACACCATCTGACACACACACTGTACCTGTACATGTATGTAACACATCATCATATTATGTGAGACACATGTATGTTACATATGTGACACTATTACACTTATTGATTGGGTTTAAGGACAACTTGCATTTTGTCGGACCCAACAACCAAACTGTTTGTCTGAGGCAGTAAGGCTCAGTAAACAATTTGGTCTGAGTCGTCGACAAAACATATTTTGCCTGAGAACACAGTCAATAAATGTTTGTTATACCTTTTATTATTATTTTTTATTTTTTTGACAAACGTGTATCTGGTGCCAGCTTCCATGATGTAAATTTCATTTACCAGCACTGTGATAAAATTCGGTCAATTCTATTACTGTCAAACACCAACAAATGTAAATAAAATTAGGCAATACCGCCCACAGTGTGACTTAAGTGGTCCAGTATCTCATCAACAGGTCCAATATCTCACTTTGAAGTTTTATGGACCCCTCATTAAAACATTGAAAATGTTAGACTTTACTTTACTAAAGATTTATATAGGAACCAATTTTAAAGGTATAACAAATACATTTATGTAACATATCACCTTGTTATGTGATACACACATTTGTAATGTAATCACAATGTCATGTGACACACACTTGTTTTTATATCATGACCATGGCATGTGATTCTCACCTGTAAATACCCTATCATGTAGTATCACACATGTAAGTATAAAGCTGCCACACTATTTAATACGTCAGTAAGCAGAACAACGTCACACAACATAACGCTATATACATGTATTATGAGACACACTAGATATTGACAAGATTATACCTTCCCATAAAACTTTCAAGTTATCTTTGATTGTATTAATTATTAAGTCTACTCTTATTTCTCATATAAGTTTTCTGACACTCTGTAAGATAAGTTACCTGGTAATTATGTAAATAAGAATACATTTTCTTATTGCATCTTAATTTTTTTCTATGCAGTAATGCCTTCAAGCACTCAATGTATTTTTTTCCCTTCCATCAATATTTACATATGTACCTGCATCAGAATATTTTTTGCAAGACACATATTGATAGCATTCTGAATAAAACTAGGTTGTGATGACAGCATCATAGCTGGCTATCCAGATATGATATTTGACTTAAATTAACATTTCTTCTTTGTGTTCTTGTTGCCCTCAATTTCATCATATTGTTTTGTCTGTACTCCTCAGAATGGAACTACATCAAATGGAAATATAAGACATAATGGAATAAATCACAGTTATGAAGAAATCCTACCAGTAGGATTGACAGTGGATCTAGATGAAGAAGATGGAAGTGGGGAACAAAAGGACTCAAAACCTGACCTTAAATCCAATGTTGTGACATTAGCAATCACGGATGTTCCGAGGCAGATCAGTAAGGACAGTGGACATGGAAGCCTGTCCCCCACCTCAGCACACGCGCCACCCACTTCAGAAGAGTCGGACAAAAAAGAGAATTTTCTAAGAGATATTATATTGGACCTTCCTCCAGATTATGCAAAGGCAACTTCAGTTACCACCCAATGTGTGCATGGTAATAGTTATAACAGAATTATGATGATATATAAGTTTTATGAATTAACATATGAAATATTTCTTTTGAGAACTGGTGAAAGATATCAGGAAAAGAAGGGATTTTTCTAGTTATCAGAATGGGTATCTGAATTTTTATTTCCGAAGAACACCTTCATGAAATTATTATTAAAATACATGTATTTATAGAATCATCGATATCATTAAGAAGTAATTAATGTACAGATTTTTTTTAGAACAACTACACTGTAAGCTCTTCAGTGTTATTGTACACTAGCTGTTTACTGGGTTTTATTCTGTACGAGAAGGAAGTCTCAATTGGCTTTCATAAATGCCTGTTTAGTAATTTAGACCTATATATAGCCTAAAAGTCATTTACATGTAACAATTTAAAATGCAATACTTTTCAAAATGACTGTTATTCGTATTGATTACAAACTAAATAACTTCAAGATGAAATAATCAAGATTAAAAAAAGTGAATGTAATTTCACCAGTATATCTATATTGCAATTAAAATGAATTATGTAACTTCCACACATTTATAAATGTATAACTTGCAAAATAATGTAATCATTCATCTTGCTCTGATAAAGTGGCAGTCTTTATCCTGACTGTTGGAATAATGATACATACTTTGCAGGATTTGAAAATGGTTCCTTTGATACTGGGGACGGTTTTCATCCTGGATCTAGAGGGACCTTCAAGGATAGCTTATGTTCCTCATCACAGTCTAGTAGCATTCCACTGGAAGATGGATACAAAAGCCATGCAGATTTCTTACAAAGTAAGTACTTATAATAAGCAAACTTAAATTCAATTGGCCAATTTTAGAACTTTATAAATAAAACATCTTCAAGGATTGTGGAATCTTGTAGCTCGAGGCAGATAAGACCAAGGGTTGTAGAAGGAGAATGCCTATGAAAGGGTATCTAAATGTCAACCTTTTGTGTGTAAGAATCTGGATCTACTGTTTAGTGCTATATAAAACCCTGTGTACACTAGCACATGTCAAATGTGGTGTTTTACAATTGACACAATGAAGAAGTATATTGCTTTTATATACTGTAAGCCAACTAAAAATATATTTATTTGCAAATTACCAATTGAAAACTGGTTTGTGACAAATAATATTTTCAATTGAGATTTCCTTTTTCATAATTTTTTAAGTCTTCAGCTGTTTTATGTCCATTAAATATCCAGAAACGAGTTACTTTCTAATCTTAGAAATATACCGGTGTGTTGAACTTATAAACTTGGTTTACAGTATGTACCTTGTAACATCCCAAGATTTTTGCAAACAAATGATATATTTGCACTGCACTTTCCAACCCTTTTAAATGAATTTATGCTTAATACAGAGATGATTATATTGAACACAAAAAATTGTAATTTCACATTTCATTTGACAAGGTAAGTTAATAATACTTAAAACCTTCTATATTCATAAAGTGAATGTTTGAACACCTTTTTCTGCACTTGAAAGAAAAAAATTCTAACAATTTCCAAATACAACAAGAGGCCCATGGACCACATCGCTCACCTGAGCACTGTGGCTAGGAAAAAAGCAAAAATCAGTTCAGTATTGAAAATATTTAATGCATAAGTTGTCCTGACCTATCCCTAAAAGAGCGGGGGATGGGGGTTACAAAATTGAATCTACACTAAAGATTCTTACTTATTTCTTGGAATAACTGACTTTTTTCCCTACAAGTTTGAACTTTATTTATGGTCCCATCCTACTCCCAGGGGTCATGATTTGAACAAATCTGAATCTACAGTATCTGAGGATGCTTCCATATACATGTAAATATGACCAATCTTAACTTTGCTGTCTTTGAGAAGAAGATTTTTAAAAAAAATTCCTATGTATTCCTGTGTATAACTTTAATCATCAATTGTGGCCCCACCCCATCCCAAGGGGGTCATGATTTTTATCAAACATGAATCTACACTACCTTAGGATACTTCTGAATAGTTAATAAACAATGATGCTTTGCTGCTCTTGAGAAGATTTTACCTATATATTCCTATATAAAACTTTGATCGTCCATTGTGGCCCCACCCTACCCCCAGGGGTAATGTTTTTAACAAACTTGAATCTACACTACTTGAGGATGACTCCACATGAGTTTCATCTTTCCTGGCCTAGTGGTTCTTGAGAAGAAGATTTTTAAAGATTTTCCCTATATATTCCTATGTAAAACTTTGTTCGTCCATTGTGGCCCCATCCGACCCCGGGGATTATGATTTGAACAAATCTGAATCTATACCACCTGAGGATGCTTCCATGTAAATATGACCAATCATGGCTTTGCTGTTCTGAGGAAAAAATTTTAAAAAATTTTTCCTATATACTCCTATGTATAACTTTGATCGTCCATTGTGGCCCCACCCTACCCCCGGGGGTCATTATTTGAACAAACTCGAATCTACACTACCTGACGATGATTCCACATGAGTCTCATCTTTCCCGGCGCAGTGGTTCTTGGGAAGAAGATTTTTAAAAGATGCCATTAATTTTTCAATTATTTTTATTTATCTTCCCTTTGAAGAGAGCATGGCCCTTCATTTGAATAAACTTAAATCCCCTTTACCCAAGGATACCTTGTGGCAAGTATGGTTGAAATCGGTCCATTGGTTCTCGAGAAAAAGATGAAAATGTGAAAAATTTACAACGACGACGACGACAGACAATGAACAAATTTCTATCAGAAAAGCTCACTTGGGCCTTTGGCTCAGGTGAGCTAAAATGCGAATTTCATTGATTTTGACATTTGTAAAGCTGGAAGGTTTTGCTTTCTTTAAAATCCTTTGTGTTTTTTAAAAATATTTATTTTAGCCACTAATGATTTTCATGTTGTTAAAGAAAAAAAAAAAGATTTTTCCCTCAAATTATGAATAAAAGGAAAAGAAAATGACAGAAACTGGCAATTTGATTAAAGAACAATTTAGTAAAATTTTTCTTAAATTATTTTAGACAACAATGACAAACAACAATTTGAAGAATCCTCTAAGAAGTGCCCAGAAGACAATGAACTGGAGAGGAATAGAAAAGAAGAACTAGAAAACAAAGAAGCTGAAGTTGAACAAACATCAGGTTATGTGTTCTACCAACCCTACGGTACAGAGATCACCTTGGGAAACCAAACCAACTCTGTCCAACCTAAGAACTCCCTTCCCACATGTAACATTTCAAAGATCGCCGCTGAACAGCAACCTTACAATGTCCAATTTACAGAGACCACCATGGGAAATCAAACCAATAATGTCCAACCTAGAAACACCCTTCCTACAAGTAACATTTCAAAGACCACAACTGAACAGCAACCGTACAATGTCCAATTTGAGAACACTCTTCCTACCAGTACACAGACCATCTCTACAAACCAACCCAACAGTGCTAAAATCCAGTGTAGCAACATTTCAACTGTTGATCAGTTGAATCGTGACCAATTAACTAAAGGACCAGACATTATACATGAAACAGATATGTGCCAAACTGCCAATCAACTAAGTACACCAGGATACCATCCCAACAAAATGTTGAATACAGAGCATCAGACCACCGACATGGATTCTCGTCCGCAGCTTTTAACAGCTGAGTCTAAACAGTTTACAGACTACCTCCCACATGATACAAATTTTGCAGAACTTACTGCCTTTCAGAATGATAAAGAAAATTCCTTGGTCTCAAATTATGTAGTTGGTAATACAACAGATCTTTCTGTTATGAATTCTGTGCTTCATGGTATAAACAGTAATGTAGCGAAAGCGACATCTGATAGATCAGATTATGTGCCCAAGGGTATATTGGATTATGTACCTAATGATATGTTGGATTATGTGCCAAATGGGACATCAAATCCATTACCTAGTGGTAAAACTAATCATTTACCTGTTGGTACATCAGATTATGTACCAAAAGATATGAATTCTTTCCCCAGTTTTGTACCAGATGACACAACTGATAATATTTCTATTGATACAAAAGACTATGTGCCATGTAGTCCAACAGGTTATGTGCCAAATGGTACAACAGATTATGTACCAAATGGTACAACAGACTATGTGCCAAAGGGTGCAAGAAATTATGTACCAAATGGTACCACAGACTATGTACCAAATGGTGCAACAAATTATGTGCCAAATGGAACAACAGATTATGTCCTCAGTGGTACAACAGATTATGTACCCAATGGTACATAGATTAAGTGCCAAGTGGCACAGAAGATGAAAGATTTACAATGGAGAACTTGCAGTGTGTATAATCTGAGCATCAAAATTCTTCTTCAATGAAATGGAGTTAGGATGAATCTCTTAATCATTGAACAATAACCAACAATTCCATTCTAATACATTCTTTTCAAATCCGGCTCTTCTAGAGGTGATAAGGCCAGTCACAATTCATTAAAATACTGGTTATTTATATAAATATGTTCAGATTATTCCACAGTGTCCTCATCAATGAAAAATAATGTGATAGGAGAATGGTTATATAGTCACCTGGGAGTGGGAGATATTTCTATCTTTACTTTCGTAAAACCTAAATTTTCTTGTGTGTGTTATATATACTGGTGAACTAGAGATCCATCATACTTGGTTGTTTGAAATATAATGATACAATGCTTAAGGTTTAAAGAAAGCATCCAATTAATCATTTACTGTAAAATTATCGAGAAAGTAAAATGATCAATGAATCAAATTCAATTATTAGATTTCACTGACCATGGGTATAGTTTGTGTGTGTCTATTTTGAACAAAAGTTTATATTCAAAATGTTTTCATAACCATATTTACGTGTGTATAAAAACCTTTCCAGTCTGGTTGCTTGTATTTTACTCTGACCATAATATGATATAATACAAAATTGTGCAATTTGCTATATCAATAAAATACGTAGCAAGAAATATTTGGGACATTTATAATACATAATTTATTAAATCAGTGTACATAAGTACGTTTTACTCCAATCTATGTAGAATCAAAGCAAAATAAATCTTTAATAGTAAAGTATTCTTAGTGATTCTGTAAGATATAAGCAATATCAATGAAATTTAATGATTTGTCAAGCAAATAGATAATAGAAAACCTATGCTTATTATCTACTGTTCAATTCAACACATGTGGTGTTTTGCAAGACACCATTAGAGACCATATCAAACAATAAAGGTTTATGCAGAAAATTATTCATTTTGACAACTGTCTAACCATTTTATAATTTTGAAATTTTATTCTTTAGAAATAAAGTATTTTTTTTCCTTTTACCACCCTAGTCCCTTTTTTGTTGTAAATATTTTTAGTAAATCCTTTGTATAATTTTTGTATATTTTTCATGACATATGTTAAGTAGATTTCCTTGTTTTTGGGTCATATAATTTCCTCAGGTTATTTACTACTTTCTGTGTTTATTTTTGCCTGTGTGAGTGTGCATTGTATGTACATCGTTTGAAAAACCTTTAAAGATCTCTAGTTTCTCAGAATTGATGGAACAAAGGTAAATATATAATATTCTAGTAAAAGGGGTGCATAAATTATGAATTATTTGAACACTCCCCCTTAGGTTTTAATTACAAACGTATTTTTTATGCTTGTCCAGTTTTTGAAGTACAGTAAAAACTGTCTAATCTGACACCTCTGCAATCCGTTTCAATGTGAATTACAAGCTTTATTTTCATTTCTATTTGATATTTTTACAAGTGTTTTACTCTATAAAATCCAACACCCTGTCTATTATGACACGAAATGTGTCTCCTAATGCCTGTCGGATTAGACAAGTGTCACTGTATTGTCATTAGTGTTATACCATAAAGTATTACATTGTATTGCATTTTGCGATACCTACTTTTTTTTTCCTTAAGAATTTTTTTGTACATATAATATGTATGAGACATTGCAAAATGAACTGATAATTTGTTTTACTACGAAGCAGGTGCCTAATTATGTAGTCAGTGTTTTATTGCATATATATATATATATATATATATATATATATATATATATATATCTTAATCTTTTTTTTTTTTTTTTTTTTTTTTTTTTTTTTGGGTATTTTGAACTTCTCTATTTTAAAGCTACATTTCAACCAACTGTTAAAATTTATCAGTATTTAAAAAATAAATTTATATTCGAATGTCTCCATGTTACTTTCATGAAATGATCATCAATGGTATTTTAGGCATGTAATTTAGTCTTTGTGTCTCTGGGATATTTTATTGAGATTTTCAAAATATGTACGGTTATATTGTACTGTATGACTAAACTTTGAAGTATATATGACTTTGTAAATAATAAATAACATAACCCTGAGTCAGTGTCTGAAGAATCTTTTGTACATAACATTGAAATATGTCCAGAATTTAGTGGAAATGAAAACTACATCTTGTCCAGAAAGCATTGACAACTGATGAATGAATTTAAGGTTGTTGCTCATAATTATTTGGCTGCAAGACATTATAGTAAAATATCATAAGTTGTGAATGAAAGTGTTAGCGGAAACTTTAGTTCACGGATATTTTAGCGAAAGAAAAATTGGTTACCTTAAGTTTAAGAATTCAGTAGACCTTAGCAGAATTTTTTTTAGAGATAAATAGATGCTGTGAACATTAGCGACATTCTTAATCATAAAAAAAAGTTCAGTCTTGCATTTCACCGTATTGCAAGTTGAAGACTACACCCTTCATATCCTACAGATAGTCTTGAACTATTGTTTGCAAACTTTTCATTTATAAACAAACTTTACAATGCCTTGATATTGAACATCTAAAACAAATCCTCATTAAAGTTGTACTCCTTTCAACTACAGTATCACTGGAAACGTCATTACGGGTGATGTTGATATACTAGTAGTTGAAAATGACGACATCAATGCAATTATCTTAAAAGGTCCTAAAAACAGGGAGCCCTGAACTTTAAATTGGCGACAGAACTTCATTTCTATTATGAATTCTGACGAAGATTATGCCAGGCTTTGGCCTAAATATGAAGGAGAAGGCCTGAACACCTTGTCAGAATGGATTAAGTGTTTTATAAATATATTAATTATCAGTCACATTATCCAGCGATGGGCAACCGATGCGTTCTTTTGATAAAAATGGCGTGGTTGCCGGCCGGACACCCATAGTTATCGGACGGTGACTGAGGCCATCGGGCGAATCGGTGGGGGTCTTCGATAGAAAATAAGTTTTAGTTAAAAATCAGCGATGTCTCCACCGATGCCCCACATCACTCCGTATCGGCAACTTATCATTAAAACGTCTTTCAAGGATCGGACAATGTGTGTCCAAGCATCGTACAGCCTACGTTGAATCTGAGGTCATCGGGAGTGAGTGGTGGCCAACAGACATCGGCCGATCATCGGTCGATGCTCGATGGCACATAGTCGACCCAAGTTCGAACGATCTTCAGCAATGTATGAGCGATGTATTATACATCAGCCGATTACCGCTCGAACATCGGCCTATGATAAGCGGTGCATCGCTGGGCCTTTATAAGCGCGTCATTTTTCACATGTACAACATTCATTCAGCAGACAACAACAGTGCCAAGACCGCACAAAGAGAGCAAGAAACCCCCAGAGGGGAGTGACAAGGGCAAGGCCAGTGGCAAGAGCAAGGCGAGTGAGAAGGGCAAAGCGAGTTTCAAGGGCAATGCGAGTGACAAGGACAAGAGCTAGGCGCCGAAGAAAGCAACCAAGCACCGACCAGGACCTCACCCCACAAGAGACCGCAACAGAGTACAGACACTGACCACACCATCGTTCATGAAGAAGATTTCGATGACAACGCCTCGGAAGCCTCCACTACCACTCTACTCCACTCTCCAATAGGTAAAATAAATTTCTCAGCTTCCAAAATCTTTGTGAAATTTAGAAGTACGTTTTCAAAAAGAACATTTCTTAATTTTGGAAAATATGTCCAAAGGTAAGTTAACACTACATCTATATTTATATACAGTCAAACCCCACATATCAAACTAGATGGGACTAAGAAAAAAATTTTAAGATATCCAAGGGTTAGAAATATTGAGGGTGAAATACATGGAGAAAAATGGTTGGGACTTTCAACTCACTTTGAAATATCCATGGTATTTGAGATACTGATGTTAGAGATACTGAAGATAACTGTGTCTTCTATATTTAAATTAGTTTAAATCCAAGGTAAAGATGACACATTAATTTGATTTATATTTGTTCATTAGAAATTCTGTAATTCTTGCTAAAATCACATGGTTGTTAATCATGTAGAAGAGTTGTCTTTCTTTGTGCTCTTCACAACTTGCGACGTGTACACGTGTTGAGTAAAATTATTACGGAAGCTAATGTGAGAGGCTGGATGTGTGTTTATGTGATAGAGGTATTAATATGGAATACGATTCTAGACAGAAATCTCTAATGAAATCGCAATCTTACCAAATAGTTTAATATCAAGATTTTGACACTAATAACCTGGTAATAATTTGTTCTGCAAAACCAAGATTCCCATGTTCCATGTGGTATTATAAATAAATCTTTTCAGTTGATAATACGATAATTAACACATGGAAAAGAGTGTACAAGACTTCTCTTTTTTGTTCAACGAAACTTGACTATATATTTTTCCAGTTTCTATTACCTTATTAAGACTGTGAAATCACTATTTGAGTGGTGTCAAATTTTTGTCGTTTTATGAAAAATTACTGGTTCTTGGGGATTTGATTTAGTGTAGATTAGTTATGTATCTGAAATTTATATTATGTGGTGGACGTGAATTCGTGGGTCTCTTTGTATGTCGAAAACCATGAAAATTAAACCCCAACGAAAATTATTTCACCGTAAGCATTTAACTAATTAAACTTAATTAATTGATATTATCATTTTAGATTTACCTGACGCATAAATTGTAGGCATTGCTATTGGGAGAATATTTGTTCTTGTACTATTCATTGCAGGATTAGTATGTGTTTGCAGGTATGTGTTTCTGCTGGCAAAGGTATATAGTCCAGATTATTATAATAAAAAACATTTTTTCTTGGGATTGACAGAAAATAAATGCTTATGTTTTTTTTATTATTTGTCAATGAGTATTCATCACTGGATTTATATAAGATAGACAATTTTATTTTTTAAATATGATACTTTTCAAATTGGAATTTATATTTAAGTTCATTTAAAATATGTTTGAGTAGAAAATTTGCAGAGAAAAACTAATTAAAGAAATGTGCTCTGATGTAGGTGAACTAGACTTTGTGTATGGTACTCATTTTCCTTGAACATAATCTTTGTAACCTTTTTATTCCTTTACAGACAAGTACGAGGGGTGATCAAAAAGTTCGCGAACTATCTCTATAATTACAAAACCACAATTCAGATCAGAATGAAATTTGACACACATATAGTCATTCATATGTTCTATAAATAGCAGATGTTATGTAATGTTTTGTTCGATGTTTGTGACGTCACAATGTGAAAATGACGTCAATATGTAGATGACTTGTGAAAAAAAAATGGTTGACTCTATCGTACTCGAGCAACAAACGGCTGTAAAGTTTAATGTATATCTTGGAAATTCCTTTGCAGTAGCATATAATATTTTGTACAAGGTTTATGAATGCAAGACTTGCCAGAGGTTTAATTAATGATTAGATTGGCTGATTTAGTGAAAGAAGGGAGATGGTTAAAATTTGTGTGTTTTTTTTTTGTTGCCAAGTGAAAGCAAGCTGAGGAAGAGATGTATCCTTAGTAGAGCAATTTGATATGAAAGATCGCCAAGTTACAGTTAGAAAAATAGTTAAATATCTTAACAATAATATAATTATTAAATCCCTAAATTATCGTTTAATCGTTTACTTTAGACTTTAAACATATCAGATATTATAAAAAGAAGGCGCCCACACTATATCTATTTTTGATAAACGACGTTCCTAAGACAGAGAACTCGGGTTGTGATGGTCACCATGCTCATTCTGGAAAAGGATATCCTTTTCCACACATCCTATTTCCGAGATTTGGTCATTTCTGACAAATGGACTGTTTTTGTTATGAAAAATAACTTCCATGGTAAGGAATATAAGACTCGGAAAAATCTTTCAGATTCTGTGAACAGAATGCTACAAAGCATGTCACGTCACCGCGTGGATCACGTTATTCGCGCATGGGCAGAACGGTGGCATATGTGCATTAAAATCGGAGAGGACTACTTTAAAAAATAATAAACACTGAAACCTAATTTTATTTCTTTCATGGAAGAAATTCAATTAGTTCGCGAACTTTTTGATCACCCCTCGTAAAACGAAAATTAGGTCTTGATGAAACATTTGATATAGAAAATATACAAATTAGACCCTTTGAAAATCTGGTATGTATGAGTTAAGTGAAAAATTTAATAATTACAGACAATCCTGATGATCACTTTGGTAATAGACATTGAATCTATTTATTTAAAGCAATGGTACTGTTCTAAACGGTTATTATAAATCAATCTTTTATGAGATATAATCTGGACAAAGAACTCTTCTTAATTGTAGGTTATAACAAACACGATTCTTCCAAGAAAACATGCCACCTATAGTACAACATTTTTAAAGATAAAATTGTTTCAAACTGGATTTTCTTTCTTCAAAGTTATTTGGAAACTTGTTTTATTCTTGAGTGGAAAGTTAAATGCAAAGGCCTGCAAGGTCAATAAGTGGTTATTAATATTTGTAGGACTTGAATTAACAAGAAACTGACACAATGAATCATGCCTCGATCTAATACTGATAAATATATAAACATCATGCAACCCCCCTCCCCCCCCCCCAAAAAAAAAAAATAAAAAGTAAAACAAAACTTTTTACAAGGTCAGGAAGCCCATATTCAATAAAATATCTATCAATTTTTTGGGCAGATATAAATGTTTAAGAAATGTCTGTCACTTGTTCTCTTGTTAACAAAGCACAGGGAATGGGAAAAAGACAGATCGAGAACCGA